AGAAATCTCAAACATGGTCGCTTCCGACAAGATGAGACACGCCTTCCGAAGTCAATTAGTTCTGACCTGAGGAGGAAACAACGGCTTTGAATGCCCCCGATTCTCATGACATAGACATCAGTGCGGATGAACAATTATGGTGACATGTAACCGTGGTTTTGATTTATCTCACTGTTTGCTCTCCAGTCGAGTGTCGGTTCTTATCCATGGTTAACTCTCCTCCTCTCCCGAAACACTTTGCCTTTGTGCTATCATCAGTTCAAACGAAATAATGATTCTTGTGGGCGACGACCTTATTGATTCTCGCTGGACGTGGCGAATTCACATCAAAATGAGTGCGGAATGCATCTTGCGAGTGTAGGACTCCCACTCGGGCGGTTTGACCCGGGGTGTCGATCGCGCCAGCCAGGGCCTTCTACACGTGCTGGCCTCACCCAATATCAGGAACGACTGATCTCGTGGTCGCACAGAGAGGAAACAGGAAATGTCAAAGAGTGACGCAGAGAAACATCGGGTGCAGTGCTTCTCGGAATATTTTCGCTCAAGTTCCAGTACCTAACTTTCATGCGCGCCTCACGGGGCTCTTACCTCGAGGTGTACGGTGTCTGCGCTGCCCGGAGAGGGTATTCAGCAACAACAGTTACCTACCTGATTAAAATATATTGTAATGCACGAGGGGCAGCATGTACGGAATCTTACTGAATGGGAAGTTTATGGAAGGTGATGTCCATGTATCCTTAGTTCCCGTCGCCAAAGACAACGGCGGACAATATGCAATGCTTTTGACTCGGCTGTGTTGAAGCTAACCTCACCTTCCTCGCCTGCCGACTGGCTCGTGAGAGAACCGATCTCGAGTTCTGGACCCTCCCCGGGGTGACTCGGTTAACCTCGATTTTGTGTTATTTCCATCACCGTTGCCTTTTTAGTACAACCCCATCTGTTCGCTTCATGCCTGTTCCCGTGAGGATTCCAACAAAATGGGTTCAAACGCCGTCTAAACCAACCTCCCAAATGGTTCATCAAGGGGGGTGACTCGCTGACAACCGTTGGCAATAATTGCCTGTCGGAGAGGAGACCGCAGGAAAACCTCCGCCTTCGAATGCAGGCCACAGCAATGCAGTGATGCATGAGCTTCACGTTGGCGTGGAACGACTCAATGAAAACACTTCGATCCCGGCAAATGGGCACGAGAGACGCTCTGCAATGGCTGACGTGCGTAGAGGTAGCGATGTTTCTACATTTCGCGGCCACACAGTATCAATCGACAAGCCCATACGTTCAGGCACGGTACTTCGTTCCGTCGCATACCGGAGCCGAAGTCATGAGAGAGTCGGAGGGTTTGAGGTGATGGGCGTAGACAACTCGGAGAGGCTTTCAACAGCTTGATCGTTCTTGATTTAGTTGATTCTGGATCATCGTATTATCTGATGACGAAGAGGAAATGACCAGAAACAAAAAAAAGTGTGTGATTCTTCACAAGGGGAGATGATTCGGCGCAATTTGTAGATGGTCCCGGGGGTGCACTTGAAACCGTTTCTTGCTCTGCCAGCGCATCTAGGACACAGGAGGTCAGTCTCCGGTCTGTCCACTCAACTTATGGATTTTAATCGCCAACCGAGCCAAGGTCCTCACAACCCCGTTGAGACTGAGTTGGGGTAGAATATCGTAAAAATGCAAAAACCTAGCAGCTTGAATGGGATTGATCGTGGAGTGTCAAATCCTGGAGGTGAACCCGTCGGGCAGGCAGACACTGTGTTGCAACTTTTGACAAGTCTGAACCTAGACGGAGCCAATTCGATCGAAAAGGCCAAGCCGCCATGCCACTGCACCACATGCGGGAGTGGTTCCGAGTCCTGACTTTTACACATAGAATTGGGCGTTTGTCACTTTGTCGCCAACCGTTGTTTCTGATGGCTAATGGACTCTTGTACCCGAAATTTCGCTAGAATGGCCTTCATCTCGAGTTTGGACTCTTTCCCCCTCTCAGTTCTTCAAGCTGTGTCTTGAAGGACATGTCAAGCCTCCGGTGAGAATTTCCGGCATCTGGAAAGACCCAGGACAGCGACAAGTTCGCCCACCTTCCATCCGATGGACGGCATTCCACTTGTCATACGAATTCACCTGACGGCGAGCGAAATGGCTCCATTTTGTCCAGGGCACTGCCGTGCATCCAATCTGCCATTGCTTTAGAGCTCCACCAGCACTTGTTTGGCCCACTGAGAGGATGCAGAGTGGGCTCGGCGTTGCGGGAAGATCCAGAATGGTTCGCACAGGGAAGAAGGGAACGTGAAAGGTCAAAAGAGGGAGCGCTGAGGGCGAAATTAAACCTGGGAAAGCTGGCGAAGACGGAGCGCAAGGCGAAACGCACGCAGGTGATGGATACCTCTAGTAATCAAGCTTCTGATTATACTTTGATCAGTCTACCTATGGTGAAGCGACGGATGGAAGATTGAAGACAGACTTTCCCACTTGTGCACGGAAGCGCATTCGAGTGTGGGATTCGGGCAGTATCACAGTATTTCTTGGGTTGCAAAGAAGTTGATCGCCCCAAAAGGGAACAGAAGCGAACGTTCCAAGCCGTTTAAAGAGGTCGCGGCACCACCCTGGCGATGGATCTCCAGGTTGCGACAGTGTAAAAGTAAAGGCACGGCAATAAGTGTAAAAGTTGACCCCCGTCATTCAGAAAACCCCCGTTTGGCTAAATTCGGGTATTTCTTTCCCTTTATACGGACCTACCCCAGCCCAGTTCTAAGATTACATACACATGTAGAGGCAATCGAGGCGACTAACTGTGAACGCACATGATGTATTTTTATGCAAAGACTCAAGTCGTCTGTCGAATGCTCGGATTACCTTAGCTGGTGCACGCAGCATCAAAGGGGGGTCTACTAACCCTACGAGACCTGCAGTGAGACGGGCAACATACCCCTGTTTTTAGGATGGCACTGCTGGCCCTGACGCCATTGGTTCGTCGCTGTCTGGAGCGCTCGCGACGGCTGTCTGGAGGGTCATCGACATGGCTATCTGGCGCATCCTCATCCAGTGGCTTCTGGTGGCCACCTGCGCTCGACGCACGCGACGGGAGGGTCGGTTTGGTAAATAGGTAACGAATGTCAACTGCCTACAATAAATAAAGCGACCCCTCGCCAGCATCCAGACAGGAAACAACAGAGACCGGCGGCGCGACGGAGTGTCCGAGCATGCACCGTTGTACCTCCCCCGTCGTCATCGCTGGACATGGAGGTTTCTCTATAGCTTTCCATCACCGCTTCTCGCCGGTAAGTTAGCTCTGTAAAATGCCTGAAGCTCTTCCTTAGTCAAGCTGCCTTTGGTACGAACCGTAGGTAGGTCAAAGTGGTAGAGATGGAAATCGGGATATCGCGAGGTTCACGGTTCGAGAAGTAGGTAGTGCGCCAAGCCTTTAAGATTATTCAACTTTCCTCTCAGATAGTGTCAACCAGGTCGCATACCTATTTCACCGAAGAGGTTCCAACAATGTTTGCAACTCGGAAGACAACTACGTTGATCTAGCGACCCAAAATAAGGCAATTGATTCTGGTTTACCTCTACGTAAGTATCGCGTAGCCAACCAAAACCTCGAGGAGCTTCTGGTCGGCACAATATGCATCTGCTACCTATGAGTCGTGGATTCCGCGTCTTCATCTTTGCTTCCTGGGAGTTTGTCCAAGTTACCGAGAAATAAAAGGCGACGGCAATTCGTCCCGGTCAGTGTAGCCCGATGGGAGGAGGTTCGGCGGGTGACGTTGTATGATACCGACTCGTTCACTGCCCTAACATGAGACCACCGAGAAATAGAGGCGTAATGTTAGTGCTTCCGTTCACCTCGTAAAGAACTGCACATGTCGGAATGGAAAGAACGTGGAACGGAGCCGCTGGGGTCCACGCCTTCCACCAGCTCCACGCTGTCGCATTTCCATGTTCGCAAAAGGGTCAATGCGATGCGCATGCGCGAACCTACCTACGCACTTAGAAGCTTTGCGATAAGGTAGGTAGCCACAAAATAACAGGCAAAAAGGCTCTTTCAAAAGCCCCCCCGCAAACCTGCAATGGACATCAGTCGACATATCTAATCGTAAATAATACCTACCTTAGATGCACGTCCGCCCTGTAGCTGACAACATTTGGCGCTGTAGAATTTGGTCAGCGGGGCCATCGTTGGGACAAAGCACCTACAGACAGCTGAATTTGGGCACCTGCAGTGAACCAGACCGGCAGGGCACAGTGGGCCCGCTAGGCCTGGTGGTGAAGGGGGGTTGCGAGTCCGACTGCAAGTGCAGACTCAGTTTCTTGCGAAACGGACATGCGTGCTCTTGTGTTGACCAAACCTCCATTCTCCCAGCACATAAGCGGATTTCCCCCGGTCGTCCTACTACTTCAACCACTCACCTCCCACCTTCGACCTCGTCAACGCTTTCTCTTTCTTTCCTAGTGTGTCGCCCAGATCAAGCTCTCGTTTTTCAAAGTCATCTTCGAGTCGAGTCCCGCTTCCCGCGCTGCCTCGTCCCTGATCCTCAATTTGCTGCTGGAGCTCCGGTCGCTCACGATTGCAAGCTTCGCCCGATATTGCGTGCGCAAGAGTCGAGACCGAAGCCACCGGTTGACCATCACCACCACCCTTACCGTACTTTCTGGTGAGTATTTTCTGTTCTTAAGCGTTATGCGATTACTTGGTCAATGCATATAGCTCCCTCCTACTCCTTGTTTGGTACAGTTGGGACAGTTGGCCTGCGTGTCTGCGTCGATCGTCGGCGCGGCGGAATCGTGTAGGCCGTTCTTCAAATACCGGCCATGCGCTCATCGTTCTCTTCCCCCTTCTTTCGTCCGACTCGTTCCCCAATCTCTACCCTTCTGTTTACTTGACCAACCTCGATTCTCCTTTTCGAACCAGTATCACTCTCGACCCCTACCTTTTCCAATCTAACCGCAATTAGTTCACCGTAGAGCCGCGAGCCAAGCACATCTTGACAACCTTCGCATCAATGGCGACCGCCTACGGGTTTAACAGCTGTAATGTGTCGCCACGGACGATGAGCACGACACCCGAAGCCAAGCAAGTCACATTTGTTCTTCACGAAGCCCGTATACCGCTCCGAGTTTCAATCTACCCGCACGACGCCACCGAGTCCATCATTACCACTGTCAAGAATTTCTACGGTTTATACTACAATGAGCGCGCGGGAATCAGCTTTGAGGACGAGCGAGGAAACACCATGATTGCCCGGTACGAAAACTTTGTCGACCACCAGTCCGTCCATGTCCGCATCATCGACAACCCCCGCGGGCTATCACCGAGCTACAACCATGCCGATGACGACGAGAGCAACCACTACACACCCAGAACCACACTGCGAACATCACGAATCCGTAGTCACTCTCCCCATGGTACCAGAGGGCGTCGTAGCGACTCAACTGCCATTGCCGGAAAGAAAAAGCGGTCTCGGTCCTTCAAGACCATGCATGGTGACCACGGCGACGGCGTCAATGGTTATAGCAGTGGAGATGATGCATCGGGCTCGGTGTCAGGAAAGAACAAGGAGCCTATCGGAAACACCGACATCAGTGTTGAAAACATCGTCGAAGGAGGACGTCGGAAGCGCGCCAAGTTGTTCGAGAGTTCGGTAAGTTTTTCATGGCTCTTGAGTTCACTAGCTGTCGTCAAGTACTGACACCTCTTGTCTAGGAATTGCCGCTTTTTGCTCCCCCACAGATGCCAGCAGCTACCTCCAATCACTCATTCTCACCCATCCGACATAATGACTCGCACCGACCCCCCCTACCTTTCAGCAATGCCACTCAGAACCCGTTCAGCAACCCTCGTCCTCTACAAACCCCGCCGAACTACCACAACCACTACGCGGCTTCTAGTACGTATGCGACGCCAGCCATTGACGACCGTCGCTCCCGCGGTAGCATTGGCTATGATGCCTCGGTTGCTGCCACCGGGAAAAGAACGATGCTCACACCTGACCCTACTGTGAGAAGCTGTGTATCGGAAGAGGACAAAGATATACAGGACGTCGCGATGCAACTTATGCTGCTTCAGGGAGATTGGAAAAATCATGGGCGATCATCAGGCTCGACACTTGATGATACGTTCAGCGGTAGAGCAGATGTTTCTTGCTCCACCGGTACGACGAGCGACTGCGAGAGCGAAAGCGAAGACGAGATGCCGCTTGCGCATACGAAGACGGATGGGTTTGGGAATCAGAGTGTCTTCCAGACAACGGAGAGCCACTTTGCAGTTCCGCAAGATGGCGCCGAAGTGAGCGGTGATGACGCCGACTACGAGGATGGAGATGGCGTAGAGCAGGGCACGATGGCCGCCCCCAAACTCTTGAAGAATCCGAAACCCAGATCCGGTTCCCTGAACGGCTCTAGGGCACGCTCACAGTCAACTAGCAAGCCCAAGCCAATCAAGGCCACCAAGCCGAAGACCAAAAAGACATCGGCGAATCCAGTTCTTATGACACCCGCATCCATGCCTGCCTCCCGCAAGCAGTCAGTCGTGTCAACCTCGGCCTACTCGGCGCCTCATGGAGAGGAGGAACAGCCTGATCTCTCTACCAAGCCACGCTGCCAACGGTGTCGTAAGAGTAAGAAGGGATGTGACAGACAACGACCTTGCGGCAGATGCAAGGATGCCGGCATTCCTGCCGAGCAATGCATTAGCGAAGACGAGGGTAACGGCCGGAAGGGCCGCTATGGTCGCCACATGGGTGTTCCTGTTTCCGTGAACAAGGAGGAAGCGTCGGCTCCGGCAACACTATTGCCGGCCGCTCTAATCGCCCCCGCGGGGGTTCTGGGCTCGGTCCCAAATTCATCGGCACTCGATAAGAGCAGGAAGCGCAAGAGGTGATGTCGCTAATGATGGTCCGAATGCGGGTCTGCTTCATCATCCACAAGTCTAGCTTTCTCTTCGGTGCCTCATATCATCTCTTCAGTGCTTCATATCATGTCTCTGGGCCCCCTTTCTTTTCTGTTCCAAAGTCTTCCTGGGCAGCGCGGCAAAAGTTAAATTCACCTATCCATTTTCTCTTACCATTGTTATATCTATTGCGTGTCGTTCCGCGATCAGCCGTTGAGCACCTCTGAATTCAGTTGATTTTGTCCTTGTTTGAGTCAGTATGGTTTTCGCAATGGGAGGCTGTGCAGTTTTCTTCTTGGGTACTTTGATACTTGCACTAGGGATGAGATGGGAAACCCTCGGACGGAGTGAGAAGAGATGGGCGAGATGCGCCAATGTCATATGTTTTTCGGGAGATGATCGATTCGAAGCAGACTGTCAAATGATTTTACAGCACTTCTCTGGTACGCCGTTGTCGGATATTTAAGCAATGCGGACAAACTGAAGACAACCATAGCAGGGGGCTGATGTGTTCTGGTCTGAATGCCTGAGAGATGGGGAAGTTGAAGGATCGTTTTTTTTTTTTTCTTTTACGCAGCGAAAATGTTTCTGTTCCAGCAACGCGCACGAACGGGCGAACGGGAGTATGGAAGAAGCCGAGTGAGACGACCTGAACTAGAAGCCAGCGACATCGGGAAGTTGAACGTGCAAGGCGGTTGTTCGTATTTTCCACTTAGTCTTTACCAGCGAAAATGTTTCCTGAACAGTGTACCTTACCAAACATTGGCTTAGCTCTCTGGCTGTGTACTCACACAGTCAAAAGACAATAAGAGCAGCAATATTATACTTAAACCCATGCGATGATGATGATCACCTCGAATGCTCCAGCAACCGCGATCACTTAAGTGATTAAAACTTCGTATACGCAAGCAGCGCAATCATTCCTTCTTATGCGCACGGAAAGTGGTGAACCGGAGAAGTGCGAAGTTTGCGCCAGCGACACTTGTAATACTGATGATATTTGTGAGATGGACATGCCTGGGGAGGAGGGACAGGCGGGGAACGGTATCCAGGTCCGCGCTCTCTTATCCTGAATTGCCTCTTTTGGCAAGTCACTCCAGCACTCTTCTCACAGCAAACGCCAGGCTGGAATACTCCTTTTCGCGCCTACTCTAGCTATAAAAGGGGCTTTTGTTTTAGGTAAATTGCCAGATTCAAATCTAAGCAAATAAGAATTGTTGTAAAGTTATTCTATCTTTGTATTGTAATTAATTTCAATATTAATTTTTAAGTCTTTTCTATATACAAGGCGCACAAACCAGTTTCTAGCCAAAACAGGCAATTTAAGATAAGAGCGCGGACGTAAATAACGACCCAGGACAGGCAGCACCCAGAGGAGAGGATGCTTAGCTAGAGCGATGCCATATAGACTATAGAAAGCACAACTTATAAACTTGTCTCTCGAATGTCGTATATCAATTTCTCGTCAAGTTCTTTGGTTGTGGTCAGCCATGTGTACAAAAACATCCTTGCGCGTGCAGCGTACTGTATAAAATGAATGTGCGGGGACTGAAACGTCATCAGCCCGGATAAGTACTCGCAAAAAGTCTCCACTTCATCAAAATGCGCGCAAGCCGTCTTACGTCGCCATCAGCATCCAAAGGACGTTAATATTCATGGTCCTTAATATGTAATCATATCCCACATCTTGCGCGACTCCAAATAACATCACAGCTCTATCTAAACCCATTTCGCCGTCTTGCCGTCAACCAGCCCTTGAGTTGTCACACGAAACCCTGACCAGCAGACCGACCGACCGACCGTCCGTCCAATATCAAAAGCGGTGTCTGAACAAGCTTTCCCGCTAGTCCCCGATCCAACCTAGCGCCAAGCGGAAAGGTAGTGGAGGTGGGGCTAACAACACTTTAACGAGCCGCCAAGCCAAAAAGAGGAGTCGATCAACTTTTTGCGGGGTCACCGTTGGGCTTTCAAGTGTACTGTAGAGTGCAAACTGTGCGGATCTTACCGATTTGTTGATCGCCGCCAAACTGAACTGACGGGCCGGCCGCCTTCCTTTTTCGATCATCAAAAGGCGCAAATGCGGGCCGTGATTGGTTGGATCAGGCTTGTGCTGGCTTACCCCACCCACTATTTGCTATTCGTAGATACCTTTTAGTACTGTAGATGTGTGAGCGAAAGAGTGCACAACTTGTAACAGGAAGTTGAAGTCACCTAGAGCAAACGGAAGCACTGAACGGCCGGATAGCACTGAGTAGAGCAAGGATACTAGAGGCTCAACGCAGTGTTTCCATCCACGACGGACTGAACAATGAGCGACGAACCAGAATGTGATTCGGGCAGAGTGCTAAAGACGGGAGAGGAGAGGAAAACGTGGGGAAAGCTTTGACTGTTCAGGTTGTCAAATTTTTATCCCACGTAGGTAAGGTCGGGCGTTGATTCGTTCTTTCTTCGATGCTGGGTTGGTTTTGCGACACCCACCGAGAACCCCCACGGAGCGCAAGTGCCCGTCCAACTACCTTATGCAGTGGTATTGCTTTCAGACTGAGAAAAGCAAGGTCGGGATCCATGTGTGCATGTGTACGACATGACAAAACTGAGGCATTCTCGAGGATTCGATTATGATGCTTTGTGTAACGATGGACAAATGTTCGCTTGACAGGTTTCGTTTCGGGTTTGTTCATGTAGTGTAGCGTTGGTGTTGCCCATGTTTGGCATTCGCTTGGAAGTTGGATATTTGGATGGATAAGACAGTTGGGCGGCGGGTATTGTACGATTGTACAACCTAAAATGCTGGTTTGTTCGTTAGCTTAGTACCTACTGTTATAGTACTATGGTACTAGCCAAGTAGCATATTGGACGAGATCTATCCCGAACTGTCCCAAGCTTCACAAAATCAAGATGCAATGGCTAGGTTCGGATTGAAAAGGCATTAAGAAGATTCAATATAGCACATAAAGACTCTAAAACAACTGGAGCAAGGTGAGATTACGCCCTGGATATAGAGCAAACGGTTCAATTACGGTATGTATATAAACGCCTGGGAAAGCTGAAGAGCGATCTCGAGCTAACAATCAAACCAATATCGGGCTGTAAGCGATTGGTTTTTATTCATGATGTCGAATACCGGCTCCGGCACATGCTCAAAAGTAACAACAATAAACCTACGTTGGGAAAAATACAAAAGGAAAGGATCGACAAGAGGTTTGACAACAATTCAGTCGATGTTCACAGGTTAACCACTCAAGCTCAAGTCGATCCGATGCCAAGCCTCTTAAGTAAAGCTCCCGCCTATCCCCCGGTCTCGGCGCAACGACATCCCACTCCTGTTTCCGACGAAGCCATCAACATTTCGTGAAAGACACTCACACACCAGCAATTCTCATTTAAAATACAGCATCCGGGGACAAATACGCGACATCAATTAGTACCGTATTTTAGAAGACAGACAGGCATAGGTCACGGCACACCGAATCGATAACATTATCACTATCCAAAGACACCTCACTCCACCATCGGCGGTAGCTTTCCCGATTTGGAGACACCCGCCAACTTGTTTGCTCTACGCCGGAACCAACATCACCGCCCGCAAATTGAAGCAATTTCATCATCTTCGGATTGCGATGAAGCAGCCGTGGAGAATTCAGAGCACCAAGAGACCACACAAGTTATGCTCAGGACCGAGTTATCTCACAGTACTAGTTGAAGCGGGACGTCCCCGGATATCACTTTGAATACAATCTGGGAATGAAATCGCTGCTATCCTAATACTCCAACCTGGTGAGAAGAAGTACTGCTAAAAAGAAAGCTGCTTGGTAGATATGCGCTAGCGACATTACGGTCGCAAGTTTCTCAGACAAATGCCTCACACCTTCACCTTAAGTTTCCGCCCAACAACAGAAAACCTAACAGCCACGAACATTACGCAAGCCCCTAACACCATCGAGCCTGCCCACACCTGCGCCCCTTTAAACTTTCCGCCCTCATGACCAATAATTGCCCCGGCCGCCGGCGGCCCCCCAACGCGGCAAACGCTGCAATTGTGTTGACCATGCCCAACCTCGTCCCGAACCTATGTGGGTCCTTGATCAAGCTGGACATCGCACCGTTGTAGATGCCCTGAGCCGCGCCGGTGGACAGCCCAAGGAAGGCGGAGAAGACGTACATGCCTGCGCGCGACTGGACGGCCATCCAGGAGAAGAGCGTGCAGGACAAGACACAAGTGCTGATGCAGATGGTGTTGATGGGGCCGATATGGCGATCGGCTATGTAGACGACTAACGAACGGGCGATAACCGACACGCCGTTGACTATAAGAAGCAGGTCGATGGATGAAGTAGTTGGGAAGTGGACGATGTTGTGGGCGTAGGTGCTGATCTGTGCGTTTGTTTGAAACCATCAGCCAGTGTCCCAAGGTGATCAGGCGACGAGGAAGCTAGGGGAGGAAAGACCAAAAACAGATTGATGGATGGACCGGTGGATGGAGGACACTCACATAAAAGAATACAAAAAAGATGGCGAAAAAGAATAACCCAGCGCCTACGACGAAGAGCCTATAAGGAGTCTCCTTGAATGCTTTCCAGTCAACGAAATGTCCGCCTTGTCTGGGGTCTAGCCTTGGCCTGACAAGGGCCAGCGCAATTACAGAGATCGCCAGCGCCACAAAGGCCTGGCAGCGGACCGCCCACGCGAAGCCGATCTGGGGAGTCAGTTTCCGTATGATAGCCGGGAACAATATGCTTCCGACTCCAGTCCCTGCCGCCGACAGCGCCAAGGTAATCGACCGCTTCTCCTTGCTAAAGTACGAGTTCACCACCGCCAGCGGCGGCATGAAGCACATGCCTAACCCAAATCCTGTAAGGATCCCTTGGGCCAAGAAGATCATCCAGTGCCTGACGTTGTCGCTGATCCCGTCTTCGACACACAGGCTCGTTATGAAGGTGCCGAGAACCACCATTACGAACCCGGAGAACATCGCCGTCCTGATTTTCCCTGCGTCAGCCAGCCCGCCGGAGAGCGTGCAGGTGGCGAGGGTGAGAAACGTCTGAGTCGAACCGATCCACGAAACTGGAGACGAGGGTAGCCCCAGTGTGTCGACGTAATGGAGCTGGTAAACGCCAAAGGTGGCCGGGTAGCCCCAAGCGACCATGTGGACGAGGAACGCGACGAGGACTTGCGCCCAGGCCCAGGGGCCACCGTCGGGGAAGTCAGGTTGGTCTTCTATGACCTCGGTATTACTCGAAACGGAGAAAGAAATGGCTGATGTCGAGGAAGATAATGAGCACCATTCTTTGCTAGAGATGATACTATGATTGATTGATGGCGAGAAGTGAAAGTAAGGATGTTGTAGTTCCTGGTCGGTGGTGTTCTCGGATGGCTTGTTCTCCTCCAGAGAGGACTTCACCGTTCTCGACCACATGTTCTATAGTTGTGGTAAAAAGGCAGGAATAACCAAGTACGACTCTTTTTGCGTTCCCTGCTTTCGGTTAATCAGTTCTGTTTATAGTTCTTACCGCGTGAAGAAGTGGGAAGGCCGCGAGGAGGGAACGGGTGAAGATGGGAAAGAGGGAATGAAATGGGGCAAAGGAGAGATTGAGAGGAGGGGTGAGGAAACTTAAATCAAGAGGAAAGGGATCACTCGCTGCATTTAATGCATGGATGGCTTGACGGAGGCGATAGTGCGTGTTCATATGCATCTTTGACCGGCGTTTTCCTTTCGGCAAATTCTTATGAACTGCCGTGTCGATGATGGTAATCGTCTCGTGGCCCTCTCTTCCCGCTATCGTCGCTCAACAGACAGTGGACTTATTATACCCATTTCCTATCATATCCATCTACGTATCGATTGCACGCTCTGTCGAACCTGACTAAGTAGCCAGGCTCGTACAGCTTCCGAGCAGATATAATTGTCGGAATAGTCAGAACGGCCTGACTGTATCGGGCTTTGTCCTATCGTCATAGACTACACTGACCCATGCCGTCAGCCCGTCCCGATATCGCGGACCGTTATTAGTTTACATTCCTGCCGAGGGACTTTAACCACCTAATACGCTTTCCAGTCCGGGCTGTAGCAGGTCTGCGTAGCCGACGAGTGTGTAGCCGTGTAGGTTAGCAATCACAAGATCCATATCGTGAAGATGCCGGTGACGGGTGAAACGATAAACGGCTTGTGTTGCTGCCGGGCTGCTTGCCCACCCTTCGAGCAGATGCCCGAAATGACAAAGGAGCTGTGTGGGACATGCCGTCAGACATGCAAGTGATCTAATAGGAATTTCGCACCCTCATTTGCAAAGTCTGTAGTGTTGTTCTTAATGGGTATCAAATTCGTATCTGTTTTCGCTGGCCCCCTTGCGGAGGCAACACATTATGATGAGCTGCATCTACCATGAGCTCCGCTAATGGAAAGTCCTCGGGAAGCCTCTGCTAGTCTTGTTTACTGCTCCTCATCGGCAATGACGAGATCGCTTGGATCAACAACCCATTCTTCTTCATCTCCGAATGTGTGCGCCAAAACAAAGGAGCCCTGGATCCTGCCCATGCCGTGGGCAGCTCCCGTGTACTGATCTTGCGCGGGCTTCACGTCGTCCTCCTTGGTGATAACCGCCGTCGACAAAAAGTTGGCTTGAATGCCCAAGCCCATCTGTAGAGGGACGCCGCCCCAGCTGACTTCGACCTTGCCTGACTTTCGCACAACCAGCTGACCAACGTAGCCGCCTTCCCGAGTCATATCTTGCTCAGCCTCCGCATCTGCTTCTTCTCCGTTCTCCTTCTTGACCTTGCTCGCCTCCTCCGAAGTCAAGTCAATACGAGAGGACGACTTTGGCGCAGCCGGCTGGTCCAGCATAACAACATCATCACCCTCCGGTTCTGGCTTGACCTTGGGAGCTGGCGCTGCACTTTTGAGGGGCGGGAGTACGACGGGAAGCTGGAAGAGGAACATGTGCCCTTCGAGCTCAGTGCCGTGGTTGAAGAGCTCGACCAAACGCTCCCGATCTTGCTGGGCAAAATCTGCCTCTGTTTCTTTGGGCTTCTTAGGCTTCTTCTCCTTCAGCTTCTCTGCATCCTTTGTAGTAGCCATAACCTTCTTCTTAAGCTCTGGCGACTCGGGAGCTTTGATGACTCCTTCTGGGATGTTCTCCATATTCACGTCCTCCATCTCACCGCCCTCCTTTTTAATGACGGCCTTCGGTCCAGTGTTGTCCACCACGCCCTCGTCCTTGATCTGTACTGAACCTTCTCCGTTGTCAACAAAGAGATCTGAGCTGTCGTCGTCATCTTCATCGCCAGCGGCCACATCGACGCCGGCGTCCTGGGCTTCGATTTCCGCAGCAGTCGCCATAACAACCTCCTCTTCCTCATGCTCAAATCTCCTGATACCCATCGGCATTGGGGCCTTCTTTTTCTTCGTCCGGACCAAGCCGTTCTCGAGCTTCTCCTCTTCATCCTCCAAGCTAAGGGTGTACAGCATGTCGGCGTTGATTCTGTTCGCGTCGAAACCGTTGGAGGTTCCGAAGCCATCGCCACCGGAACCACCAGAGGAGCCACCACCATCTACCACAGACTATTAGTAACGGACCGCACAAAGGGCAGGTAGCTTCGATGACTTACAACCCATGCCTCCAGACAAGGGGCCAGCAGCACCTCGCGGTGCGGCCCCCTCATAAGGAAGTTACCCCGCCCACGACCACGACCACCACCTCTTCCGCGGCCACGGTTCGCCCGGGCTAATCGCCTGCTCTCTTGCTCATTTCGGATGTCCTGCAACCTCTGTTGTTCCTCTGCAATACGCTGTCTCTCGGCCTCGCCTCTTCTAACTGCTTTTGGTTTGAACTTTGGGCCGGGCTTAGCGGCCGATGAAGATGCTGGAGTTGCCGCTGACGATGTTGACGTCGAGGCTGCTGCTGGGGTGGCTGACGACCCGGATGCGGGTGTCTCGACGGAGGCGGCGGCGGCAGGGCGACGGCCGCCCCGTGGCGCCAATCGTCCTCTACTCGGGGGTTGTGACATGGTCTGGGTGACTGTGATCTGAGTTGGGGCTGTCTCGTAGTGATGCTGCTGAGATCAGCTTCTAGCTTTTAGAGAAATGCTTGATAAACGCGGCAATTGCCGATACTGATTGCGTGGCGAATGAAGACGGAAGCAAGGGATGATATTATTCGCTTCAGTGTGATGTGTAGTGCTCGGTGGTGAGTCAAATAGTCGGTCGAGTAATTGAAAGTGGAAAGTGCGATTCGTGAGTTCACGGACTGGATGGTTGGCGACGAACATTGGGAAGTCCAGTGCTTGAGACGTTGCGGGGCAGTTGGACCAGAAAAAAAAGATAAATTTAATTGATAAGCGTTGCGGCCCGGAGCCGATAAGAGTACTCTCACTGCTATCGGAACAGCCCAAACTAGCGTGTTAACCCACCATTGGCAATTGCGTCACACGTGAAGCTTACACGCAGCAACTCGGCTGCATGGTCCAAATAGCACCAGTAAGTGTAACGGCAATAGTCATCCGCTATCAATAACACGCTGGTTATTAAGGTAGAGCTTCCGAGAGCGGACAAGCAGTTGTAAACTTCAACAACATTGACATGCATCGTTGTCTCCTTCAAATACCCATAATGAGGTGACACTGATTCCGTACTTCCCTCATCGCCATGAACTCGCCATTTCCCAAATCCTCGTCTGCGGCCGGCGAGGGCAAGATTATTGCCCGGCTTCAACCCGATGGAGTCTCTGGCTTGGAGACCATCACCTACCAGTATCCACTCAAGCTCATCTCCCCCTCAAAGCCGGCAGAGGACAAGAGCGTCCTGGTCTTCTTACTTTCCTATGGCGGTGGTCTAGTCGGTGGTGACCAGGTCGATCTCTCAATCCACGTTCATCCACAAGCAAAGTTGACTATTGTCACCCAGGGCCACACCAAGGTCTTCACCTCTACGAAACCCGATATCGTGACGCGCCAAACACTGCGCGCAGAAGTAGCAGCAGGCGGTGCCCTCTGCCTCTTACCGGACCCCGTCCAGCCATTCGCGGGCAGCGTTTACGAACAGACGCAGATTTTCAAACTGGCCAAGGATGCCTCCCTCTGTCTCTTGGACTGGGTCACCCAGGGGCGGTCGGCTCGTGGAGAGGATTGGAGCTTTGTTCGATGGCTTGGCCGCAACGAGGTGTGGACGCGGCCGGGAGACGGTGATAACGGAGGTCGACTTCTTGTACAAGACTCCCTTATCCTGGACAGTGCCCAGGCTCATCCACAGATGAAGACGCTGCGTGAGTCCATGCACGCGATAGGCATTATGGGTACGCTTATCCTGCGAGGGCCATTGATGAAGTCTCTGGGCGAATTCTTCTTGGACGAATTCGCTGCTTTACCGCGAATCGGAGCGCGGGACTGGCGGAGTGAGGATGCGAAGAAGGCAGAGGTCAATGAAGGACTGTCGGCGGCGGAAACATGGCGGCGTGACAGACTCAAGATGGAGAAGGAAAGTGGGCTGTTGTGGTCCGCGGCCCTTGTCAGGGGTTGTGTGGTGGTCAAGTTTGGTGCTCCGGAGGTGGAAGCTGGGAGAGCATGGATAGGATCGATGCTTGTGCAGGAGGGGAGCATCGATGAAATCTTCGGAAACCATGCACTATTATGTGTCAAATGAATACAAGGAAATATATCTTATGGCTCTAGATCCGTATTTTATAGGTCAAAACTGTCATAATCGTTGGCAACAGCCTCAGTTCAGTATAGGTTGTCCTGGAAACCAAAAGGCAAGGGGAAGCAAGTATAATCCTTGAATCCTTACGGCGTCCCGTTAAAGACTGTGTTCTGACCGGAGTTGCCTGACGCTGTCGTGGCTGGATAAGGAGGACGAAGTTTGAGAATGGGGGAAACTGTCTTTGAAATGGCCTTCATCCTTTTTGAAGACGGGATGCATTTTTGCGTCTTGATGTTCAGCTGGACGACTGAAGCAATGACTGCCTACCCGAACCACATTGTTATGACGACTTCCTCACGATGATTTCACCTCAACATTGGAAGGACCCAATGGCATTTCTGCACGGTCGATGGTACCTGCAGGTCCAAGAAGCGCTCGCAAGGACATTGTTGGTTGCAACGGTTGGGAACACTGGCCAGTTACTGAATCGCCCCTGAAGACTGCGGCGCCTCTGTTATAAGAATAATGTGAGGGTGCTTGATACATATTAGTGTAGCGCTCTCAAGTGAAACATCCGCAACCGGTGGCCACCTGTTCATTCTTGACAAAGCACCAGATTCCATGTTGACCGCAAAAGAAAGTCCCCAGGGACTCATACCATGATTGTAATATCGCGGCTAAGAGTTGAGAAAGGGTTATTTGATATTAAAGCCTGCACATATGGACAATGCTCCCTAGTAATGTAATAAACGGGTTATTCAAGAGCTGAGGGACGGGAGGCTCATCGCACACTGTAGCAAGTGTTGACAAGCTGGAATAAAGTGGGGCTCCGTTGGGAACCGCCAAAATAATATCTGGTGATGGGCGAGGACTCCATGCAGCAACTGCAACCTCCCACCCGACGCGTCAATACCCTACCTAAACCCACCACCGAACAGAGTCGCCGGGTCGCTCTCTTCGCCACGCCGCTCCGCCATCATAGTTCACAAATGTAATGACGACGACGACGACCCGACAGCCCCTCATGGAGACCACCGATAATACTGCGACGAGCTCGCCCACTCCTACCTCGACTGCGCGCCGTAGTGGACGCGTCACGAAAGCCCCCGCCAAGTTCACCCCCGAACCGACTACGCTCAGTAAGCGTAAGCGCACATCGGAAAATGACAACGGCGAGGACGGCGAAAATGAATCGCCCGAAGACGAAGAGGACCTCAATGAAGATGACGACCCCGACGCCAGCGAAGTTGAGCAGGAGCGCCAGCGTTCCAGAAAGAGGAAGCCGTCATCCCAGTCGGCAAAGGCCAAGAAACCGGCTTTGAAAAAGCCAAAGATCAACGGAGATGCGCCATCCACCACTAATCCGCCATCGCGTCCGCAAACACCAGCAGAAGTGCCTGCGGTTGCGCACGCGCTGGCACTGAACAACCTTGCCAGCCTTCCTAGCAGGCCGAAGAAGTCTGCTCGAGTTGCAATCGCCCAGCCTGAGGGTGAGGGCCTCTACAGTCAGTCACCATTCCGGTTCAGATCCCAGTCAGCGCGCTGGTGCATTTTGTTTCTTCCATTGCTGACAAGGTCCAACAGCCGATATTTTTAGGTCCGACGACCGACCCAACGAAGTTGCGACCCGATGGTATCACAAATACCAGGCTGACCACGCCGAAGCCCTTACCGACCTCGTCAACTGCATCCTCTTGTCCGCCGGATGTGACCAGCGAGTGACGGAGGATGATATTAGAGACCCCGATAACTGCCAGAACCGTTTGGCGGATCTACAAAACGTTTATGCCGAGGTATGTCACTCCCAGTCACACCAAGCTCACACTCAACGGCAAGCGTGTCTTGTACTAATACAGGTATTGTAATGTAACAGGAGGGCATTACGGATTACCCATTGATCTCACGGGCCAGAACAACTAGGTCATTCCGCGATCTTCTAGTTGGCTTCTTCAAATCCCTGGTGGACGTTTTGCATGAGACCGATGCCTTGTACAAGGATGTTCAAATACTGGAGAACATTTCCCGATGGGTGGCATCCATGTCCTCTTCGACACTTCGCCCATTCAGGCATACAGCCACTACCATTGCGCTTGCCATTCAAACGGCACTTGTCAAGGCGGCGGGTATTTTGGATGGGCGTATCAGCAATTACATGCAGCAACTTGAGAAGACGAAAGGGAAAGGATCCAAGAATGCCGGCCTTGTCGAATCTATACAACAAAACCTTACAGACGCCGAGCACTACCGTGATGTTTGCAAGGATCAAATCCAGGACATTTTCGACACTGTCTTCGTTCACCGGTACCGCGACATCGACGCCAAAATACGGACGGAGTGTGTGGAGGCGCTCGGCAACTGGATTTGGATGCTTCCTACAGTGTTCATGGAGCCTGAGTACCTCCGTTACCTCGGCTGGATGCTTTCCGACGTAATGCCGCAAACAAGACACGAGGTTCTCAAGCAGCTCGGCAGGATATTCAAGAACCACGCCGAAAAGCTCGGTCATTTTATTGATCGGTTCCGGCCACGACTGGTCGAGATGGCCACCAAGGATTCTGATGTCAACGTCCGCGTGGTAGCCATCAGCAACATTCAGATCTTGAAGGATTCTGGCAATCTGGAACCGGACGAGATCGACTCTATCGGGCGTTTGATTTTCGACCCAGAACTGCGTATCCGCAAAGCTGTCCTTGACTTTTTTGCTGGGTGCGTCAATGATTCCATCGAGGGCAAGGTTGAAGAAATTGGAGGCGAGGACGCCATTGATGAGCTGTTCCAGGACCAGGACGAGGACGATTTCAGCTCGCCGCGGAGCGACTGGGTTAGTATCAAGTGCCTCGCAGAGCTCCTCGCAGCATATGATACCCAACTCGAGGAGGAGAACCCCGTCGAGCCTCCGCGCAGTTTGGATATTGCTGTGGATGCGATTCCGGCTGTCGCCCCCGAGACCAGAATCTCTCTGGCTGGCCACGTCTTGTATGAGAAGATCGACCAGCTAAAGAACTGGGAGCTTCTATCTGGGTATCTACTTTACGATCACTCTTCTAGCGCAAGCTCAAAATCGGCGTCCAAGGGAGGTTCCGTTGAGGCCGCCCTGCGGAGAGCAGTTGCGCCTGAGGGCAGAGAGGAGGCTATATTGTTGGAAGTCCTCGCTTCTGCCGTGCGGTCGAGTCTTGCTGCTCCTGCTGAACTCGAGAAGAGCAAGAAGCACCCGCGAGCTGAGGGCATCCACCTTATCGGACCAGAAGAGGCTGCTCGTAAACTGGCTTCTATCATTCCTCAGCTTCTGAGCAAGTATGGGGGGGAAGCAAGCACGGCCGTTACCGTGCTACGGCTAGAACACTCGCTGGATCTCAACGTATACCAGCAACTGGGGCAAGACTCAACTACCTACGACAGGTTATTAACTGGAATTTGCACCCAGTTCGACAGGCACATCGATAGAGGTGTTTTGGCAGAGACGACCACGGCATTGTTGCATGGAAGGAAATACCCCGCATTGGAAGAAACAATAGACGAGAAGGTGTCAGAGCTATGGGACAAGACCATTAACAAGCTACGGCAATTTGACAAGTCCAGCGAGCTGGGCATCCGTCGTAACCTTGAGGAGCCTGCCATCATCGAACTTGGCAACGTCCTCTCCAAGACCAGTAAACTCGTCACGCTTAGGGACTGTACCGAAGTGCTGGAGGCAGAAGGCCAGGTGGAGGGCTCCGAGTCTTCGGCCATTGAGGTTCTGATTCGCATTGTTATGCGTGGCAAGCTGGACCAGGTTGATGAGAATCTGGATGACCCTGAGGACGAGACAGTTTCTTACGCCGTTAAGACCTGCCTCTTCTACTTCATGTGGAAGGCTCGCGCCTTGCGCGAAGCGGTCAACGAACAAAGGGCTATTCCCGCCCTTCAGATCGAGCGTCTCAACGCCCTGCGCCAGTCCTTCGTAAGGAACCTCGTGTGGACACTTTCCTCGCGCGGAACCAACGATGACTTGCGCCTCTTCTCCACCGGTGCTCTGTGCGACTTGCACGTCGCCTTTGCCTCGGTCCGACGTGTCATCGAGCGCCATGCCGCAGAGGGATCCGACGTCGACTACTCGCTCATCGACCCACTCCTCGAAACCGTCGACCCTGGCCTCACGCGCGAGATGATTGAAATCTTCACAGCTGCCGAACGCGCTTACGCCCGTTGCATCAATAGGCAACTGAACAACCCGGGCGAAGACGAGGGGCCCATCGAGCATTTCTCGTCGGATGAGGAGGACGACGAAGATGAAGATGACAGCAACCTCACGCCCGTGCAGAAGAAGAGGAAGGAGCTCAAGGCGGAACGGGTTCTCTGCGAGCTCACAGGCAAGATGGTGCTCGCCATCGTGGCCAAGGTGTTCGACCAGCGTGCGGATGGCAAGATCAAGAAGAGGATGCTGAGGAATCAGAGCAAGCTGGGTCACAACTTCAAGGAGACGCTGGCGTATCTTGTTGACGAAGGCCGGGCTGCCAGGGTGAGGGACGCGGCTGCTAAAGCGGCTGGCAAGAAGAAGAGGCCGGCTCCTGCTGCGCCTGGCTCAAGGGGTCGGAATAGCAGACCAGCGGCTGCCGGGAACTCTTCTGGTGCAGCAGCTGGGAAGAAGCAGGCGCTCAGTGCGGAGATCATCACTGCTGATGATGACGACTCGGAGCTATCGGATATTGAAATCGAGGACGAGGATCCCGCGGCCGCAGCTCCCGAACCTGCAGAGACAACCGAGCTGGCCGATGATCCTATTGAGGATAACGATGAGAAAGGAGAAGGCGGAAAGGAAGACGGCAAGAGCAAGAAGGACGACGATGGTGACGAAGACATGGACGATGAGTAAGTAAATGTCTGCTTGGGGCAGAGTGTTATGTAATCACACCATGGACAGGGTGAACAGGTTTCCATGGACGGGAAGAGAAGAGACAAGATGCGACTCAGACACTTGTGTTTATTTTATGTAAATGGTTGGGCGGCAGGCATGCAGGCAGGCTTTTCTGTTTTAAGGACTCCAAGGGTTTCAATTGTTTCGTTCATTTATCATGCTCTCTACATTCGATCTTGAAGTCGGTATTATAATGATTCGCAAAAGAGGTTACGGTGGTCCAGTCAAACTTTCAGACATAGTAAGGCGTGACTTTGCCAAATTCCCCGAGTCGTGCAGCACAGCTTATTGCGAATGAAGGGTAGAGATAGCGCAATAGTTTTCTCGTCAATATCGATCAGACACAGCAAATAGGTATCATTCAGTTCAGTTCATACACATATCTTGGTACCAAACATTCCAAACACCCTCACCCACCCTCCGGTAGGTCTATCATCCGTCTTAGGCAGCCCATCATCGTCCTCAGACAGACGAACACCATACTGCTTCAGACAGCAACTAAACGGCTTGTTGGAAATCTCTTCCTCCTCTTGATCCTGCTGCTGCTGCTGCTCGCCATCCGAGTCCTCAAGCGGTGGCTTCAACCTCTCCAGTTGTACCACCGTCGTCTTTCCCTTGTGCCTTTCGTTTTTCTGCCATTTCCATCCTCGGCCTTCTCCTTCTCTTTGGCCGCACGGGCTTTAGCAGCCTTGAGCTCCTCCAGGGTTCCCCAGAGGGTAAACATTCTCTCCCGCAGGGTAGCCAACGTACGGGGGTCTCGACGGAGGTTGACGGCGTCCAGACCGGTGAGACATTGTGCTTCGGTGTTGTCTACCGTTGCCCAGAGTCTCACTCTTGCTGTTTTGGGATCGTCACGTTTCCGTTTTTTGTTCATGTCCGTCGCAGCCGTGGCTGTGGTGTCGGATGGCGATGGGGATGACGGGGTGCTAGCGTCTTCCAGAAGGAGAGCGAAGCGCCATTCCCATGTCCTACGGCTTTGTCTATTATTATGGTCTTCACCGTCCGTTGTATCCATGGTGGAGTTAAGATTGTCCTCATCACTTTCGGCATCATCGTCGTTGTCGTCATCGTCATCGTCATCGTCATCGTCATCGTTGTCCGACAAAATATCGAACTCGGTCCTCTTCCTACCGCAAGCAAAATCCTCCAGCTTGCGAGGGTAAAAGTCCACGACGCGGACACAGGCATTGTACTTGGCGTTGGTAAACGGCAGCGGGATCTTGACAGGCTGGTTATCGACCAGAGTCTCGTACATGACCGGCTCCAAGATGGTCGCGAGCGTCAACACGGGCTTCGGGTGCACTTCGCAAGTGACCAGCTCGTTCAACCCCAGGGCAGCTTTCTCTTGTTCCTCCGCCGCCTTCTCCAACGCGGCGCGTCTCAGCTTGCGTCGTTCCTTGGCCGTCAACTTCTTTTCGGGTGGTGATGGCTGACCATCGAGGGGCATATCATCGCTTGCACCAATGCTACTAATGCTGGCTGCTTTCCGCTTAGCACCGGCCTCCTGCGCGGCTTTCACGGCTTTGATCTGCGTCTTCTTCTCCTGTGAGTAATCGCACCAGCGGCGGACGGCCTCCTTCAACCGCGGGTCGACTGTCTCTTTGGTGATGCTGGGGTGCGGGGCGACGATATCTAGGATCTCGACGTTGATTTTTCGGGAGGACGCGTTGCGCTCCTCCCTGAGAAAACCCTCCAGGTGCGCGCCGTTGCGGCCGAACTTGACTTGCACGTTGCGCAGCGAGAGCCAGGTGCCGGCGCCGACGCCGGCTTCGCGGATGAAGTCGGCGTGGGAGTCGTAGCAGCTTATTTGGATGGTCCGTTTGCCGTACGGGCCAACCCATGGGTGTTGTTGGGAGCCAGCGGCTTCCGAGGGGTTGTTGTCGTCTTCGGGGTAGGCATCGAATGACCGGGAGGCAAGCTCTCGGACACCTTCCCAGGTGTAGTGAAAGAAGAGATCATTTTCGGTGTAGTCGCTGAGGTAAAGCGTGACTCGGCCCACCTCGTCGGTGTAGGGGTCCTTGGCAACTTGGCCGATTAGGTCGTAGAATTTGCCGTCTGTGACATCCTTCAGGAGGCTGAACTTGTCTTTGACGTTCAGAGAGACAGTAACTCTCTGTTGGTATTCGGCCTCATCGGGAACGTCGTACTTGTCGATGACATTGTAGAGGTATGACACATACTGATGGTGTTCCTCCTTCAGCAGCTTGTGGCTTTCACCTTGTTTTGGGGGCAAGAGTGCTACCAGTGCTGAAGCGGGATAGACGGGTATTTTCGCAGCCTCGTAGACGCAAATGGAGGTGACCTTGCTGGTAATGAGAGACTTCGGGTTGGACTTGAACCTCTGAACCTTTGCGCTTAGAACAACAATGACGTCTCCGGCGCCGACTTCGGGCATCCGCGCCTCGGGGCGAAAGATGACGAGCTCGACTCCGGCTGGTTCATCTTCAATGGATAGGTCAGATATGGTCAAGGTGCACTTCCAGTCCGATCCGTGTGTCGAAACCGGGGCTCGGCAGTCTTTGAGGACGCCAATCACGTTGACCATAGATCCAGGCTGGGCATCTCCGTCATCGTCAAGAATGGCTCGGAGGGGTGTGAATGTTGACGGAAAAGATGGTGGCTTTGCCTTGGCCGCCGTCTTCCTGTTTCTGAGAGGGCGCATCATCTGGAAATCCCGTCTCTCCGCTGCGATTACATGGCGACGGATGGTTCTGCGAATGAAACACCACAGCGACTGGTGGTGATAGTTACCAAGCGTAAGGTATCTTTGGGTCAAGTGTTATACGTACATCACGCATTCACTTTACGCGTCTCAAAGGCGGAAATGCCATCTGCCAATCGCCAAGCTTGCGCGACCGCATGTGCAGGGTCTTGGCCCCCCACTGGACCAGACCTTCCCTTCAAGCACTGTGTTTCTAGCAAGCCTTGCAGGGCTACGGTTACGATGAGAGGTGTGGCCTGTGCTTCAGTATCTTAGTCATGAGGGGTCGGGGACTCCCGAGCAGGGCGTCGCAGGCCAGTCTCCTACCACAACCTCAAGGGATCGATCCGTATGGAAGTAAAGAAGAAACCTACCCGAAAAGGAGCATGGGAGTGGCCTTGACATCATTCTTCCCCATGTAGCAAAGTATCCTGATTTCAATGGTACAGATTGGGGATTGACGGACGCGGCCTGAGGTAGATGAAGTTCCATTGTTGCGGGCGGTAATCTGAAAACAAATCCATGACGTTCACAGCAGACACAGAAGCAATATGGAAGGAATGAGAAGAATGCTTGGAGGGTCCAGCCGCGCTGAGGTGGGGCTGTGGTGGACAAGTACACGTACGCGGAGAAACAGCGGACAAGGTACAAAATCGCTTAGGTGGCCTGTGCTCGAGCTTGACTCTTCCATCCCCACATTCAGATGCCAAACTCTTTTTGCTAGAGGTACTGTACTGTACTGCGGGCGGGCAGTGGCACATTTTCACTGGCCAGTGGGTGGCACTGGGCGCTGCGTGCAGTCGACTGGACCACCTTCAGGCCTGGGTGGCAGCTGTGACTGCCGTGCCCGCACTTGCAAAGCGAAAGCCCACCCGCCCGTGGAAAGTGGAGGGGAGACAGGCCGCCTTCTCGTTTCCGCTTTCTGCTTGTGAGGCGCGGGCGAACTCCCAAATTCTTTCATCGTCGCTCCTCAAAAAACACACAACCCACCTGCCCCGTCCCCCAAACCAATCCTTTCTCTGACGTTTTCCGTCTCGCCGACAACGCACCCATCCTCTCCTTCGTCCCGCATCCAGGATTGCTTTGGCAGGACCGCATCGACTGGACTCATCCTGTTCTCCGACTTCTTTGATCCCTTATACCTCCCTTTGAACGACTCGTAACAACTTCATCGCTGGGGCTTTCTCGATTGCATCGCCCCTCGTTTGCCGCCTCCAACATCACCACCATCACCCACCCATCTGGACGCCGTCGTCCCGACATCACATCGCAACCATGGCTGACCGCTATATCCCCGAGCATCGTCGCACCCAGTTCAAGGCCAAGAGCGCCTTCAAGCCCGATGAGCTTCGTCGCCGTCGTGAGGAACAGCAGGTCGAGATTCGCAAGGCAAAGCGCGAGGAGAACTTGGCCAAGAGGCGCGGTATCGGTGCTGGCGACTCGCGACCTGGAGCTTCCCTTGGTGCTGCTCCCGACAGTGATGATGAGAACCCTCCCACCGAGTCTCAGGTATGCAAACCTACATATCCCAACCCCCCTTACATGATCGGCTGTGATGTCGCTACTGCCTCCGTCTGTCGCTTCTCCCTTTTCTCCCCCGCTTGTACCCCGCCGATGATGGCGATGCTTGAGCCACAAACCTCCAAGCAGTGCCGAAGCTGCATTCAAGCTGCACGCGCAAACTACAACATTATGTCGACGTTCATCGCGGCATCAAATCATCATAACCTGCCCCACGTCCCGATTTGTCATGGTTTATGTCAACATGCTAACCAACTGGTATAGTTGAGCGAGGACCTCCCCAAGATGGTCGAGGGTGTCTTCTCCAGTGAGATCGACAAGCAGATTCAGGCGACCACTAAGTTTAGAAAGCTGCTTAGCAAGGAGCGCAATCCTCCCATCGAAGAGGTTATCAAGACCGGTGTCGTTGGTCGCTTCGTCGAGTTCCTCCGCTCCCCCACACTCTGGTTCAGTTCGAGGCCGCATGGGCCCTTACCAACATTGCTTCGGGCTCTGCCACCCAGACCCAGGTCGTCATCGAGGCTGGTGCTGTTCCCATCTTCGTCGAGCTTCTTGGAAGCCCCGAGCCCGATGTCCGCGAGCAGGCTGTCTGGGCTCTCGGCAATATTGCTGGCGACAGCCCTCAGTGCCGCGATTACGTTCTGAGCTGCGGTGCTCTGCGTCCTCTGTTGACCCTCCTTGGTGATAGCCGCAAGCTGAGCATGCTCAGGAACGCTACCTGGACTCTCAGTAACTTTTGCCGCGGCAAGACTCCCCAGCCCGACTGGAGCACGGTTAGTTTCCCTCCACATGCACAATCGAGTATGTTTACTGATCCATCATAGATTGCCCCTGCATTGCCAGTTCTCGCCAAGCTCGTCTACTCGCTAGACGATGAGGTCCTTATTGACGCCTGCTGGGCCATCTCCTACCTCTCGGACGGGTCCAACGACAAGATCCAGGCAGTTATCGAGGCTGGCATTCCCAGGCGTCTTGTTGAGCTCCTGATGCACGCCTCCACCTCTGTTCAGACGCCCGCGCTTCGGTCCGTTGGCAACATTGTTACTGGAGATGACGTTCAGACCCAGGTTATCATTAACTGCGGTGCCCTTACCTGCCTCCTGTCTCTCCTGAGCTCCAACAAGGATGGCATCCGCAAGGAGGCTTGCTGGACCATCAGCAACATCACTGCTGGAAACTCGGCCCAGATCCAATCTGTCATTGACGCCAACATCATTCCTCCTTTGATCCATCTCCTCTCTCATGCTGACCTTAAGACTCGTAAGGAGGCTTGCTGGGCCATCAGCAACGCGACTTCGGGTGGTCTCCAGAAGCCCGATCAGATCAGGTACTTGGTTGCTCAGGGTTGCATCAAGCCTCTCTGCGACCTCCTTGCTTGCCCTGACAACAAGATTATCCAGGTTGCCCTGGATGGTCTTGAGAACATCCTCAAGGTTGGCGAGCTTGACAAGAACGCTGCTGGCGAGGGCCCCGAGTCGATCAACCGCTATGCTCTGTTCATCGAGGAGTGCGGAGGAATGGAGAAGATCCACGACTGCCAGACCAACGCCAACGAGGAGATTTACATGAAGGCGTACAACATTATCGAGAAGTACTTCTCTGACGAGGACGAGGCCGGCGATGAGGCCATGAGCGCTCAGCAGCAGTTTGGATTCGGTGCTTCCGGTGGTGCCCAGCAGGGTGGCTTCAACTTTGGTGCTAACGGCACCGAGTCGATGGACATGTAAAGTGCTGTACAATCCGTCTAGTTTTGTTTCGAAAGGGATGAGTTGGGTCAAAGACTGGGATGAATGGATCAGGTGCGATGCTTATCACGGCACTATCTGGGAATTCCTACCATGAACGTCTTAGCCTATCAGCCTTTCGGTTCCCCATACGAGTTCATTCGCCCTACACACAAGACACATCACGGCAGAACTATATTGCTTCATTCTCATAGTGCCCCCCCACGCTTATTCACCACACCATACCCCATGAATTGGCGTTATCGAAGTTATGTTTGAAAGAGAAAGGCGAGGATGAGTTGACGCACAGGGAAGCCGAATGGTCCCTTGATGCGAACGCTCTAACCTGATGAGGACGCGATGATGCGTTTTATGATGATGGGAGAGTAGATAAAAGGGTCTGAATGGTAGCTTGAAAGCTCCAACCCTATAGCGATGTTCGGACGCGTAGTGATCAAGCCAAGGAGATAGGGAGCCTTGGGGCTGATGCAAAAGGGCGGTCCAGGGGGTGGGAAGAATCTACAGCCTCGAGTGGCCATTGCTAGTGCATGGCCAGAGAGTCGAGGTCACAGTTGGTTTGTCGGGGCAGTTGGCTATGTAGTCACGACCAAGTGGGCTCAACGACACCAACTTTAGCGAGTATCTAGTCAACATAGCTAGCTATTCGCACAGCAAAATAACATGCTTCTCAACCGTTTCTTGTTCCTGTCCGCTACCATAGGTGGCTCATGCCGTTTCCCTGCTATAAACTAGGGGGGTTAGGGTTATTGCGGTCCCAATTTTCTCATACCACTCACTGACTTGCAACATGACTTTGAAGACATGGTGAGAAGGGAAGGGCGTAGAACAAGGAAGGTAGTTGTACATGATATAAAGCGGATATGATTTCAAGAATATTTCTCCATTTACGACTAACAAGATCACACATCTCGTCGTCCCTGTACGGCACATATAGTTTATGTAAGCGGTTGCTACACACGTGATGACGTTTTGGCTCTAGTGTAAACCTCGCAGGTTACCATTCCCATGCACGTCCCTTCTTTACCAACTTCATCACATCCATCTATGTAGCACAACACATCAGCCTTCTCGGACTTCCTTGGTGCTAGGCATTTCATGCTGGCCTGCTGTGCTACACAATGGCTGATTTCACGTTCTTGACCGGCCTGTCGTACGTCTTTGGCTGGACGTACTTCACTTGCTGGTCTCTCTCGTTTTATCCCCAATCGATTCTCAACTTCTCGCGCAAGTCAACATCCGGAACCACTATAGACTTTCCTCTCATCAACTGTCTAGGTCAGTTTTCACCCATCTACCTAGTTACAGTGCAAATCCATCTTTTTCTGACACCATGATAGGCTTCTTCGCCTACACCGTCTCCAACATCGCCTTTGTCTATTCTCCCTTGATTCGCGCCCAGTACGCAGCCCGCTACAAAGGCTTGACCCCCACGGTCCAATTCAACGATATCACCTTCGCCTTTCACGGCCTCCTCCTCTGCTTCGTCACCGTCAGCCAGTACCTCTTCCCGCGCGCATGGGGCTTTGCACCAAGCCTCGGCAGCCGTCCCAGCCGTTTCATCCTGGGCACCTTCTTCGGCTGCGTAGCCGGCGCTCTCATCGTCATTCTCCGAGTATGGGCTTCCCCCGTTCGCAATGAGAGCACTGCCGCCGTAACCGGCTGGGTCTGGCTAGACGCCATCTATGCCGTCTCGTACGTCAAGCTCGTCGTGACCCTGATCAAGTACACGCCGCAGATGTACATCAACTACCGCAACAAGTCGACCGTGGGGTGGTCCATCTTGCAGATTTTGCTGGATTTTGGCGGCGGAATCTTGAGCATCTCGCAGCAGGCCATCGACAGTTATCAGCAAGGTGACTGGTCGGGTATCACGGGCAATCCGGTCAAGTTCGCGCTGGGGAACGTGTCGATGATCTACGATCTGGTGTTTATCGTGCAGCATTATGTGCTTTATCGTCACGCAGTAGGGCCGAAGGTAGATGGAGATGGAGATAGTGATGGTTATTCTGATTCGGATCCCTTGCTAGGAGAGAGTGCAAGGGAGGGGGATGAGGAAAGGCGGATTCAGTGAGGGCTGGGAGCTGTAGCGGTTTCTCTGGTATGTCCATTGAGAGTGTCGCGGGATGGAGTCGTGGCGTTCGAAGAAGGTTTGGAACGGCGGGTGTCGCAAAGGCACAGTTATAGAATTTGATGACGAACTACGGTATCATTTCGTCAAAGTCGGTTTACAGGTTCGTCCGGCAACGCAGGGCAGGACCCGGGATCTGTTGGTTTTGATGGAGTGTCATACATTTTCTTTGCATGTTCCAGAAAGTTCGAACGCAGTTCGGAGAGATTTCCTTTGACCTTTATCCCAGACAGTTGGGGAAGGCAACGGCCAGAAAATTCAAGTTGATAACTCTGACGCATCAAAGTCGAGTGACCCTGTAAGTTTCCAACATCGGCTCTGGCAACCGCCTCCTTCCGCTGTGACAGCAGCCTGCAGAATCCAAGATATCTTGCGCGGCTTCCTAATCAGACAGATATTCCATGCGGCACTGGAAGGAACGAAGGGAGGAATGATTGATCGTACTGTCCCAGTTACGAAGCAACCTGCCAGGCGCTGGTCCTTCCACTGGGCCTTATAAGGTTCCCCTTCAGCACTCACCAACAAGTCCCAAGTTCCCTCTCAGTAAAGGTTCCGTCGTGGTCTAGCGGTTTGTGGCGGGGCCAGATAAACATTGCTCGTTGCGTTGGTAACGGTGGTACAGTTTTCGTAGGCGTGTCTCGAGTGGACGGGTTCGACCCTGCTCGTGGGCCGCTGAGCTTTTTGCTTTTTTGGTCTTTTTGCTTCCCAGATTATGTTTAAAACCCATCCATTAAGCTCGGGTCTTCAAAGCTGGCTGATTGATTCTAATCATTACCATCATTTGGCAACCCCTTTCCGTTTGTGTCATTGTTTTTGGTTACCAGATAGAGCGGGATGTGCACCTGGCCTGACTGAAAGTGGAAGAAAGGTACCATTCCAACTTTTAGCAATGAACCGAAGTCACGATGAACGGCGATTGCGATGCGGACGTCCTCGTGCCCGTCTTTTTTTTTTTCTCTGGTGGTCACAAACCAGGGCATATACATAATGAGATAATCTCAATCACCTAGGTCTTAACTTCATATCAATGTTTCTTGTTACCACAACGTCTGAGGTCATATCCCAATCACATTCCCCTCATCCGTTAGGCAAGGAAGCAAGAACCACTGACAGAGAAAACAAAACCTGAAGATCCCGAAGGAAATATCAACCCCCTTCTTGGTCTTTAACCGACTGTCACTTAACCCTTTACCCTACCTGTACATATTTTCCCGGAGGCTCACCTCACACTCGTCTCCGGTGCTCATCATCATCATCTCCAACGGCATTTTGGCTCGCCAGTAAATCCTAATTATTGTCCAGTGACTAGCAGGAAAATAGATCAAGGTATCCATATACCTCAATGCTGGTTTGTGACTTAACTCGATACTCCTAGCATACTGGGAAAGATCTATCCCAAACTGTCTTAACAAGACAAAATGAAATGACCAAGTACGAATTAGAAAAGCAATAACGAGATTCAAAACAAAAGGGATCAATTTAGAAATGTAAACGCCAAAAGGCTGACCAGAGCTCTCGAGCTAACAAACAAACCAGTATTGGACTGTAGGTCTTCGAGGCCATCTGATTCTGCTTTTGACTTTTGCACGTCGTGCCTCAGCCTCACACAGTCAAGTCGATCCATCATCATCAGCCCTACGAATTTAGCCAGCTAACCGAGATCTGGCGAGGAGATAATCACGATCGTGACAGTGTGCATGAGCTGATGAATGCCAAGTCATGCTGTCAGATCTTTAAGAGGGATGGGTTAGAGGTGGTTTGGGTCGAGTGTCACACTAACTTCGTGACCACGGACCGAGTGTCCGTCGAGTAAGGCAGGGGGGCGTTATGATACAGTAGATGCCTCCAGGTTGTAGATTTGTTTGAGGTGATGTCTGATGTTCTAACTTCTGGCTGTGGACTGTCTGGTAAGAAAATTCCATTCAGGCGTGGGTTGGTCACTGCGGCCAAACATGAGGCCTGGAGATAATTTGAAGAGCAATGACTGCCAGATCTTCAATTCTGACCATTACTTAAAAGGTCATATTCCACGATTTTGATGGCTGATTAGCGTCAAAGAAATCTCTGCGGAATGGTCTGCCGAAAAAATTGGAAGCCCACTTCCTCCCCACACCAGGGGTTTCCCATCCGATATATTCCCCGACGGGGACATGGAGTCCTGAGTGTCGATATCCATCAAGCAGTTACTATCTCCACACACAACTATCTCGAACCCAGTGAGGAACCAGAGAGAAAGAAAGGAGCCTCCAACACGTCGAGTGTCTTTGAAAATATATCCTCCCACAACGACGACCTCAACCTCCGTCGGGAAAGATGAACGAACTCAGGCTGAATTCTCAATGGCTAGGATTTGCCTCATGATGATGATGCGGAGAAGGAGAGGGGAGAGGGAACGGATAATTGTCATTGAGTAGTGGAAGGGCAACAAGAACACCCGAAACAATGAATATCAAAGAGAAGAGTTCATGGACAGCTCTTGGGGTTGGTTGTCAACGGGTATGTATAAAGCCCTCCCAAAACACCCCGTCATCTCCATTCTCAAGCTCTCATCTCCCTCACCAACAAGCACAAGCACAAGCAATCCATATTCACATCCACTCCCATCTCTTTTAACTTCCAGCTCAGTCTCACCAACCAAACCGAATCCAACATGAAGTTCACCACAACCCTCACCCTCCTCCTCACCTCCCTCGCCAACCTCGGAGCCATGGCCGCTCCTGCCGCCGAACCCGCCGCCGCCGCCGGTGATGTCGCCGCCCTTCTTCTTGAAGAGCGGGCCGGAAAGTGCCCTCAGTTCTGCAGTTGCAGCAAGGGCAAGTGCTATTGCCAGTATTGCTATGGACCTACTTGCAATCAGTGGGTTGATGGGACTTGCTAGAGCCAAGTCGAGTCGAAGAAGGAAGGGAACGTGCTAGGTATGTAAGTTGATCTTCACATTCTGAAGGTAGAGAGAGGGAACGAGGAGACATGAGATGAGGAAAGAACGGAAAAAGAGTCGAGGAAAAAAAAAGGAAGGAGATACCGAGATGTTTGACTAATTCATTTTGCATACCTACCTAGATTGCTCTGCCCAGATCACTGCTTCGGCACCACCACTTGGTCAAAGAGAAAGGCCGGGAGATATCTAGTTGAAGTCTGAACTGATATTGGAGGAGTGAAAGTCAAGGGGATGGTTGGACGGTTTGGAGATTAGGAACTGGAGAATCAAACGACCGTTGGATACTCAAGCGGTCTTCAAGTGTAAATGGAATAACCAAAATCCAATGTCACAATGTCTTTGATGAAAGTCTGATGGCATTCTGCGAGGCCACCATGAATTGGAGTTGTATGACCTCGAGAATGATGTCTTTCGGCCCTCGAGACTCCACGGCATTGTTTCGTATCTTCGCTGTGGTATATAGCCTGGGTCATCCTATGTTTTCTCCTGTTCGTGTCGATGGTTGAGTTGAATTGGTCTGCACCAACCAGTTGCGTGAATTACCCTTGGAGCTAAGTATTGAGAAGCTCCCTTGGTTGAGCTCTCTTGTGGTCCTCCAACATTGGTTCTCTCTCTTCAGCCGTAACTCCTCACCGGCAACTGTTCGCCCTCTTTCATCCCATATTTCTAAACCGAGGTCATAACTATTGTCCATAATTCGTATGCTTAGCTCAAGTCCCTTTTGCCGACAACGTATTTGCCTGTTCGCGTGCACATGACCACCATGTTACTTAATGAAACGCAAATAAAAGACCCTGCGAACGTATGTGTTTGTGTGCATTGCGTGTGTACCCGCGCTTAACTCTGTTTTCATCAATGCCTAGGTAACCGTAAGAAAGAGCAACAACCTAATCAACATGTTTGCAAATAAAGGAAACCAGAAAGAACGCCAACCCGATGATGCCTTCCCACCATCCAACCGTCCACCCCACCTTCCAAGGCCAACGCAAAGTCCCAATCCCGATCCAGATCTGCTGGGGAGGGGAAAGATGTGCGATGCGAATTCTCTTTCAAGCCAATGCGTTGTTTTCCGTTTCCGCTCGTATCACTCATTGCGAGTTGGCTTCACGACAGTGTCCGTGTCGGATCTCAATGTACGAAGCAGGGTTGCCAGTGTTGAAATAACTCGAAATTCCTTTGAATTGAAGAAACCAATTGGAATTGATCTAGCGAAGAGAGGTAGTCGTAAAGTATGGACTTTCAGAGACAGTGCACCCAGCCGGGAAAAGCATCAATGTAAAGCAAAGACAAAGGGAATTGAAACCGAGGGGGAATCGTATGGACTGTGTCTGATGTTGTAAAAAGAAAATCAATGCATGAGTGTGTGATGATGCATGTTCGTTGAACCGCCTTGGATATATGTATCGCGCAACGCCATGCAACAGGAGAATATGCTTTGCTTTCGTAATGCCGCTCCAACCACTTTAAGCTCCCAACTCCTCTTCCCAGTAGACATTAGACGCAAAACGCCATGCAAGCAGCAAGTATCCCGGGATGTGTGTACCGGGGGGTATCAATAACGGATATCGTTCCGTAAACGTCCAAATCATGGCGTGGCGGCAATGCACCAGTGGCGGTGGAAAGCCCATGCACTTTTCTGGCATTCCTTACTGCAGTATTTGGTACGCCGGCAACGGCGGCACTTTGCAAATTGCCTCGTGTACTCTTCCCATTTGCCGCACTGGTAGTAAGCACACTGTCGGATGCCTCCCCGGGTATCGTCCTTGCGGCACAGGTTCCTCATAACCACCCCGGCCCAGTATTGCATGTCTGTGCTGTGGTACCGGACTGTAAACTTCTCCACGAGGGGGAAGATGTTTTGATCATTGGGGAGGAGGTATTCCTCTTCGCACTCTTCGTCTTCCGCCTCCAATTCGGCCTCCAACTCGGCGGGATCAATGCCGTCGAGAAGTTTGATCTCCTTGCCAATTTTGAGCTTGGGGACAAGGTGGCATTTTTGGAAGTACTTGCGAAGATTGCAATACTTTGATACGTATGCCAACAGCTGCAATGACATCAACACGTCCTCCTCCCTGGGCATGGCGGCAAGCATCTGCGGGTTCGGAGTCACATGGCGATCCAGCAGGTAACGTGGGACACTCGAATTGGGCATAGTCGGTTGAGCGGTGTTCGCAATGGTCGGCCTGTTTGGTGACAGATGAAGGTTGGTGACTTGAGTGGGTGTTGTGTTATTTTCCATGCTGGCGTCCACGGCACCTTGGTGGGTGATGTTGAAGGTTCCAGCTTCCTGAGCCTCCGAAGCCGTTGGGGTGGCTAGGTCAAGAGCAGCACCAGTCATTATACCGTCACCATCTTCGACCGACACCTGCTGGATTTCAACGTCATTTTGTACGTCTCCGGTTCCCGACATCTCGGCATCCTGATTTTCATCAGATGCTACGCTATCGGTGTTCATGTCGTCTGTCTCGGCCGCAGTGGAATGTTGATGACGAATTGATGGTCGACGGCGAGAGCGGCCATTGGGGGCCAAGATCGAAGGGGGCCGGACGTTAGTCGGCAAAGGAGTTGTTGGCGAGGCAGGCTGGGATGTAAGGTTCGCGTGAGCAAATGGCGCCATGTTCCGTAGGCGATCGGCTTCCCGCACAGCCCTGGAAAAGCCATCGATGTTCTCAACAGATGATGGCCCGGCCGATGTAGGCGGCTGGATTTCATGACGAGTAGGCGAGGGTACAGCCGACTGCGATTCCTGTGTTCTACCACCATGGTGATGGTGATGTGAGCGGTGTGCGGAGAAAAGAGTCCTTTCACCAAGGGTTTGGCCAGAGAAGCGGGATGCGGTCGGGGTTGTCTCAGTGTCCGGCGCAGCGACTTCCGTCGAAGGACCAGCCAAGGTAGCTGAAACATCAATAGGCTGAGGGGCAGCCTGACGACGGAAAGCGCGTTGGTCCACGTCTACGTTGGTGGGCCTAGAGGAAAAGCTCGCGGATTTGTGCACCCGGCTGCTGCCACCAACCCTGTGCCGGTGATGGGGATCCGACTTGTGCTTTGCTTCTTCAGCCTTTTCACGAACCCTTTCGATGACTTTGATGTAATTGTCGAGGATGGTAGCAATGACGGGGACCATGTCGGCCTCGACAACGCGGGTTCGGACATTCTCCGTGCCTCTTACACCAATGTTGACCACGCACTGGAAAGCCAAGTTCCACTTCCACATGTCCATCATATCCTTGCTGCGACCCTCCTTCAGGATGCAGACTAGTCTTTCGATACCGCCATCGACAGTGAGAATGTCTCGGATACGTGCCGATGACGTGGTCAGATAGGCGAGATGGTTTAGAGAGTTGATCAACGGGAGGGTCGAGGTGCAGTCGAGCGCTCGGCGGTCATACAAAGCCGTGGTGATGCCCACGGACGCCTTGTTGACGTTGGGTATGCTGAAGTTGACTTCCCTCATCTTGGCTTGCCACCACGAGTGTCGAGGTAGGCACCAGACGGGGAGATGGAGATGGGATACGTCTGTTGCGGACGACGGTCGGTCGGACGTCTAAGACTGTATGTGGTCGTACCGTGACACGCGGAGGCTAATAGTCCGTGGTCAAGCGGTTGAAGGGTATGCGATAGGGATCGGTATCGAACGAGATAGCGCGCGCACAATGTTGTCGAGATATAGTATTGAACAGTTTGGATGTATAGTTGATGGTTTGAGGGCGATAGATGGCAGGTCGTAGTGAGAGCGTGATATTGGCGAGACGGGGAAATGATGCGAGTGGATTCTGGATGGGGTGGGTTGCTGGGGGCGAAACCAAGATTGCAAATTCGGCGGGCTGTATCGACTGAGAGTTGCACCGCGAGGATGAGGACCCCGTCTGAGGATGATTGATGGGATGGGCGAGGGTGATGGTCAAATGCCTCAGCCGCGGACGAGAAATCGGGATCGGAGGAAGGAGCTGAGAAAACGGAGACGAGTGCGTGAGGAGTACAGGAGTATGTCCGCCGGTCGGTGCGATGCGGTGCGTTGCGGTGCGGTCGTTGGGGTTTGGGCCCAAGCAATTGCCAAACAACCTAGCAATGCCCTTTTGTTGGTTCCCTTTTGGTTGCAGTGCACCCTGGGAGTCTGGGCAATTGGGCGCCTGGGCGGTCGGAACGAGGGCGCGAGGAAGGACGGCCGGGACCGAAGATTGGCGATTGGCTTGGCCAGGTGGAGGCTTCCAGTTGATCCAGGGTATTGGCGAGGAAATAGCTGAGAATATCTGGTGCAGAAACCACTGCAAAGATGCGATGTGATGCGAGATAGTATGGTAGAGGTAGGGGAATCAGAAACCTAAGATGATGCCTCAACTCTGTGGGAGCTGGGAAAGAAAGAAAATGTGGAAGAAGAAAAAAGCTTTGAGCGTGCTGACGAAAGTGGAAAACCAAAAGGAAGCAAGGAGACCGCCCTCGGGTCAAATCTGATGGAGATTATAGCGTAGTCGCTGACCCTTGCCTGCTCATGCCTGGACTGTTGCGCTTCCAGGTTGTTCTGAGTTCAAGGAGAGGCCAGAGGCCAGGAGGGGAAGTGGAATTGGTAAAGACGGGACCTCTCTTGGTGGTGACTGGAGACTGCAGACTGGTGACTGCGTGTTGGACGGGAGGCTGGACGACACAGCAAAGACACTGCTTCCGACTGACAGGCGGAAATGCCAAGCGCCAAGATGCGTAACGGAGGTAACGTTCAGGTCAACTGAAGCTCAAATTGTCCAAGCAGATCAGCCCGCTGTGACTAGGTATCAAAGGCTTCTTTTTTCTGTAGACGCTGCTTCGTTAGTGTCAGGGCACCGCACAGATGCAGTTGGTAAAGTGCACGCTAAAGACGACCCGCTACAGGTAATTTATAACTGAGAGCGGGAGTTCAAGGTACGTGCGCTAGCGTCTGCTTTACCGCCCATGGACTGGTTCCCTCCGCGTAATTTTCAGACGGAAGGAAACATGCAAGGCGACATCAGGTAAGGTAGCCGCTTCAAGTACGAGTCAACCCATTGCCGCTTGAAATTGCTTCACTCTTTCATCCTATCTATATCAGTTGTGATTCCGTCAACTCTCAAACAGCTTCCCATCCTGTTTATCTTCCCCTCTTCTCCTATCTCTACATTCGCACCAACCCGGCATGGTGGCCGTTGGAGCTGAAAGGCCGATTGCATTAGCATTAATTACGTTCATTTCCAGCTTGCCCAGACGACAGGCGGACGCGAAGTGCCCCGTAATTACCCAGACAATACCGGCCTACATGAGCTGCTGTCACGGAGCACTCCACAACAGTCCCGCTCTTTCTACGGCGGACCGGGGCGGAGGATGCGGCATCATGAGCTGACAGAGCTGACATGACGATGTCCATGGACAAGGGAAGCTGGAAGAGGCAAATTCACCCAACGAGCTGTCGAGTTCAACCCGGAATCAAAACATGGAATTGTGCGGGGGGTGGACGAGATTCTGGGGATGGACGTTTGCTATCCAGCCATCGAAGCCGGGCATCTGTCTACAGCGCAGAAATGGATTTGCGCATCATATCCATCAGAGGACAAGTTGGGCGGGCTGTTCAGCTATTACCAACAATGATTGACGCCAATATTTCCAAACACAACCTTCGACAACTTCCACAGAACGGTCCAGCCAGATGACGGGAACTTTTGCCTCAATACACCCTACAATCGAGCGCTCTAGCTTCTGTTTATGTTGGCCTTTGTCAAACAGTTCCATACCGGTCTAGTACCAGACGTCCGGTTGTCTGTGGTGCCCATCAACTGGTTTGGACACCCGTTCTGTTGCTTTGTTCCCAACCGTATCCCATTCCCATCCAATGGCAGGATATCAACCCCGTTGTATCCTTCTCTTGTATCACCACACGCCGTAACCCACCACGACGCATGGCTCTTGGCCCCCCGCCACCTCTCCAGGATTTGTTCGTTATGCATCAAGGCTCATCGACTCGAAGAAGCGGCTCTCGTCATTTTCGGTTGTATGGGTGTGAGGGACCATTACATTGACTTTCCCCTCTTCATGAAACATATCCCCTACTCACAGCAAAGAGAGCCGGTGCCGATGTGACAGTCTGCATCAGCATCGGAGCTGCACACTCAGGTGATCTTGGCATTTTTCCCACCATTCACACAAGAAGCATTCGAAAAAAGAACCCCGACAAGATGAAGAACTTCTGCTTCAAAAACCGTGTGAGGACGAGCACCAGCAGCTCGGAATTGTCCTACATTCACAAGCCTTGGGCATGTTTTGGCAAGGAAAGATATCTTTTGAATTGGGACTTGGCAAGTCGAGGTTTCATGTTACAAATCTCTGAACGCATTCGCACCGAAAGAAACTCCTTCGATCCGTCATTTTCGACAGGACCATCACCTCCCCCGGTCCCCGCCACCTCACCGGGCATCCCATACATAACCTCATCGGACCACGCGGCAGTAGCCATCAAGGATCAGGACTGAACTAACGACGGGTTTGTGTGTTCGAACCCAACGGGTACGCCTCCAGCGCTTGCCTGGCTTAAATCTCCAATGCCCAACTCCCAACAACAAAAGAAAGCCGCACTGGGGTCCCCGCCAGGGCTGAGATTGCCGCCAGAAGAAAGAAAAGGCCAAGAAAAAAGCCGAAGCATTTCACATACCTTTTCCACATGGCGGAGGGGAAGGAGGCAAGCGCGAGCGCTTAACTTTTTCATAAAGTTGATGACGGATGTCATTGGTCAACTCGGCACGTCTTTCGAATGCAACCGCCTTCGATTTTAGTTGCCCTTGCAGTTGAGAACGACAATGGAAGAGCAGACAAAAAGGTAATACGGGCAAGTGGGATTTCGGTTGATTGAAGGCTCCTCGTCAAGCGCGCTTATTTTGTCTTCCGTCTGAACCTGAAACAATTCTTTTGAGGATATGGACAACGACGGTTCAGTTTGGATGCATAAAACGTGAACTGCTGAAGTTACACGAATATTTCAGTCACAAACCCTTCGTTACGACCCGAAGGCTTGGCAAGATATGCTTGGCTTGGGGTGGCTTTTGGGGACTTCCCTGAAGATTGACATGTCTAACCAAGCTCATGTCGATCGCTTCTTCTGAGTTGTGCTTCCGAAAGTACAACAAATTCCCCGACCCTTCTAGAAATTTGCATGATGTGCTCATCCGGCTCGGCTACGTTTTGCCAACTGAACCACACGAGGTATGTAACGAGACACCTTGATGGCCACAATGAGTTCAGTTCAGTTCGACACCTCGACATCAACCTCGCCCCGGATGCAAGACACCTGACCCGACCTGACTGCCCATCGAGGTGCCCCGAAGGACAAATCCCACACACTACTTACCCGGGATACAGTAAGATATTGGGGCACCCGGAAATCCTGCCTGCCTTGCCAAAAGGCCCCGATGATCAATCACACGATCGGAACGATACATTTGGGCTTTTGATTACAAGATCATCATCTCTACGAGCAATCGATGATCGTGGGAAGAGTGACAACACCGGCAATATGGAATACGCCGACAAACCATAGTGTCGGTCTCGGGATATGAGCTGTAGGTATGCTGTGACACACAATGAATGACAAGGAACAGAAAGTCCGTAAGAACGCATTCGAGTCGAGATGCCAAAGTTACCTAGTGTCCTCTTTTTGTTCACTGCGTGTATTTTTTTCTCTTTCTCTTAAGCCCTTCGCCATGCTCTCTGTCTGTATCTCTCATGCTATTTTACCTTCCCGGTTGACCAGCGCTGTTGTTGGATATTTCAGCGCGGCATGATGATGTTTGTCGTATTGTTCCCATGAAGATAAAATAAATAATCCAAGATAACCGATTAACACAAAACCCCCGATCAATAGTTATGAACGATACTTTGTCCGTCCGAACCTCAAATATGGTTGCCTTATATATCTGTCATTCCTTGCCTTGCCTTTCAATCGGTCTGTCATGTACTTATGTACTGTATGTACTCTGTCATTGTGTACACTTCCCGGCCTCATCAACTCAGCCGTAACCGGTACACTAACAAATAACAGCCACCCAACGGAACGGAACATACCGACCGAGATTTATCTCCCAAGCCATGTTCTCAGACGGGAGTAATGTTCTTTTATTGTTCTAATCCCTTTCCATGATATTTTCTTTGTTCACACCACACCTCACTGTCCCTCCTCCAAACTTGAACGGGCGAAGTTTGCACGCAAAAGAGGCGTGTGCGCCACATGGATGGCGAAACCGTGTCTGTCCTCCCTCTGTCGTACTCACTCACTCATTGTTCGGAACCCAACCGTACCGCAAGGTCGAGATGAAATGAGTGAGGTGGATGGCCACGTTTCCGGCGCCACGTGGCTTTTGGCTTTTGAGGGATGGAGTCTAGAACGAAACCCCCCCCAAAAATCAGGATGAAAACACCGCGGGGAAAGTTTGGGGGTTGTGTTGACTGAAGTTCTTACTACTGTGTACTCACCAGTGTAGAATGTGGTAAAGGGGCGTGAGCAGTGCCAAGCGACTACCCCCTTTTCAAAAACAGCAAAAGTAAACAATAGACATTAGTATTCTATCTCTCGGCTTTTCCATTACCATGACACATTTTAACCTTTCTCTCCTGACTTTCTACCCAAAATATCCTTTCTTTCACCTCAACCACCTCCCACAACGGGTCTGAAACAGCCCCTTATCAGTCTCCCCCAACCCTCGCATGTCTAAAATACTTCATCCCCACCCAGCTCACCGACACCCACACCCACACCATCATCCACGTCAACACGAATAGCGCAGGATAGTACCCAACAATCGGCAGTGTCGGGTCATCCTCGAACTCGGGCGGCGCGTAGGGCGTCGTCCCCACGTCCCATGCCCAGCTCCACACGCCGAAGCATGAGCCCATCCCAATCACGAACGTGATCCACGTGCAGAGCAAGATGATCCAGCCCCAGAACTCGGTGTCGCTGTAGTCGTCGTAGTAGTCAACCGCTTCCTGGGGCGGCATCGGTGTCGTCAGGCTTAGCGGCGACTTGGCTCGTTGTTGTTGAACCGAGCTGCGGCGGCGGCCTTGGATTGAGTTCGAGGTGGCGGTGGCTGAACTGGTGCCGTTGCTACCGGGTGTGTTCTGGGTCCCACGTGTAGGACGACTGGTAGGCATGGTCTGGAAGTAGGAGTCGGAAGTTGAAGAGGAGACGGATGCACGCGCCGGGTGGAGGAGGTTGAGGCTGCTGATGGAGGAGTTGGTCGAGGAGCGGGAGAGAGAATGCATGATACCTGGCCCTCTGGAGCTGGCCATGTGGAGGGCGTCTTCGTCGTCCGTGGTGGTGTAGCTGATGGTGGGGCTCGTCATTGCCGGGTCATCGGTGCCATTGCTCATCATACTGGGTGATGTGATGTTGCTGCTGCTCGTGCCCTTGGCCGTATATGTCCCTTCAGAGTCCGACTCTTCCATGCTGGCACTGGGCTGGGACGAAATGCCCGAGATGCCCAGCCCAAAGCCGCCGTTCCTGCTATTTTCCTTGATAATGGAGCCTGGACTTGATGTGATGATGTTGCTTCCCGACCCGGAAGCGCGTGCAATGTTTTCATTGGAACGATCTAGCTCGAACTGTGTGTTGATGCTGAGCGGGTAGCTCTCCCGCCTTTCTCGCTGAGCGCCTCGTCCCAACAGAGCAACCTTCCTCAGCGAACCCCTACGTCGCCTCGTTTTCTGTTGCAATATCGTTTGTTGATGAAGGGCCGCATGTGAGAGCGGAGGTGCGGAACCATATAAACTACTGCCAGCGCCGCTGTTTCCGGTATAGGTATTCGATGTGGACGGGATCGTACGAAAAGATGGTATTGGAGGCGAAGTTGTCGGTGACGAGGTTGGGGAAGCGGACGGCTTCGAATCGTTCTCGTTGGTCCCACGGCGCGCACGAGGCCTATGCTGATCGCTCGATGCGCGCATGAAGGGAAACCGAGACAGCAGCCCGCCTGTGCCGGAATTGCTGCGCTTGCGTACGACTGCAGGTGGACGATTCAGGTTGACGTCGGGCGCCGCAGCAGGGCCCGCAGGTTCGGATATCGGCTGGTCCATAACCAGGGTGATGTGGCTTGTCTATTTATCGGGTTTTGACCGAGAACCCGGTTGCTCGGACGTGGGGAAGATGGGTCGGGGATAAGGTTCGCCCAGACAATGTCTTTGCGCCGTCTCTTATGGGTTCGGACAAGGGCGCACACACTCCTCGCCCTGTGTTGACCGTGAAACCGTCTGTCTGGGTTGAGGGTGGGCTCGACAATTGTTATACCCTGGTGATGAATTGGTCTTGCGAACGTGGGTGGTCGGAAAGAGTTTGACTATCGAATTGAATGGAAGGACTGGGCGCAATCGAATCGGTCGAAAGTCGCGGAGGTTACTCGACGGCCTTATTTCCTGATCTTTCCTCAGATCTACTGGGGGTTTGAGGATGGGGATATCGTATATCGAACGTGGCTTCGTGGATGCGCGATGGCTCGAAACCGACGAGAAAGATCGATGCGAGTTTGAACACCTGGTCTGTCGCAAATCGTGTCGTCCCTGTGAATAATGGAACGGGCCTCTGTTCCAAAAACACAAGCGCCGATGTCGAATAGGGATGCGCCGGCCGGACTCGGCTGCCCTTTCCGTTAAAATAAGAGAACTGCAAAAGGGAAAAAGTCAATCCCTCGGTCATCAAGTGGAAGTCGCGAAGATCGGACGTCAGCTACTTTGTGTCGTCCAGTATCGTTCGCGTCCAAGGCGCTCGAAGCTACCAATCAAACCATCAGTCGCATCACCACCGCGGCCACCGCCCGCTACCATCGACAGGGGGACGGCGTTTTTAGGTTTGGGGAGGATCGGGGTTCCATCAAGTCGATTCCACTTCTCCCACTTGTCCCCACAGTCGTTGGAATTGAGGTTTCCTGCGATCCTGCCGGATTGCCTTCGTCACGGCAGGCAGTCGGTCCCTGGACCCTGCTGGGCTGATCAATGGCAGTCCCGACCAACCCCTTTGTGATGTGGTACTGTACGGTAACGACTGCCGAGCTCAGTCTGTTTGAGAAACACAAGGAAGTAATGTACTATGCAAGGGATGAACGGGTGTGACATGGAACGACATCTTGTCGGGTTCGGAAACACTTCATGATAGTGACTGAAGGGCGAACATTCAACAACTTCTTCCCACGATGGTTATCGTTAGTACAAATTTCACACCTTGCACGTCCGGACAGGTGAAAAACATCAACGGAAGACAAACAAAAGATCAATGGAGCCCCACACTGGCGCTAAGCCCAATGCCGACTACGGCCGCTCACCCCTGACACGGAGGTCCACTCTCACCAAGCCCGCCTCCACTCCGTCTGGCCCTCCACCTCTGCCCCTGGCGCTGCTGGTCAATGACTGCGGTAGCGCCACCGCGGTAGACACGGCTACGGCCACGGCGACGGCCACATCCACAGCTCTGTCAACCGCCATCCAGCACAATCCACCGAACAGGCACATGGCGACTGGTCCGACCGTCATTGTGCCGGCAATTGTCTACCCTGCTGTGGACGACGACGATCATCACGGAGACGAGGCTAGAGGCGCCCCGAGGAACAACTGGCGTCACGATAACAACCATAGCGGCGGCGACGCTATCAAGACCACCATCATCTCCTTGGCCCTCGACGATCGCGACCAGGATGATACTGGCTCCCACAGTCTAGCCGCTCCATCGCCCTCATCTCCGTCACAGTCTCCGTCACAGGACAAACACAGCAAACGCAATAGCCAGGGCCTCTTTCTCTCGTCAACCTACAATCCCCCCATCTCCCCGCGGTCAACAACCTTCTCGTCCGATACCTTCCTTCATCCCGACCACGCGAACCTGAGCCTTCTGCGGTCCCCATCGCCTGACCCCAGTCCCTTTGCAATGGCGACCCAGGACGGGTCTGCGTCTCCCACCACGGGCGAGTTCAATGCGCCGCCAAAGAACCCCTTCAACTTCCAGACCCAGGTCATCTCGTCGGGGCCCGTGAAATCTGTATGTTGCGTTGCTGTTCCGCCTATGTCTCCTTTTTGTTAATAGTGATTCTCCCCAGAATATCGGTCAACGCCGCGGCCATCGATACAAACACTCCTCCATTAGCGCCCAGCATTCCTTCTTCCAGGAACCCCCACCGCGCCCACCGCCCGTTCTCCCCGCATCCCTCCCTATTCCGAACCTCAGGGAAGCATGGCATAGCATGCAGAAGCTCCAGCGCATGCGCTTCTGGTGGTGCTGCTGCCACGCCGCCATTGCCGGTTATGTCTTCCTTAGCGCCGAGGGCTCGCTCGCCATGACTGCCCTCTCGCATCTGGTCGCCTTTGACGTCGGTTCCGCTGCCGTTTGCGTCGCCGTCGACGTCCTCGGCAACTTCGAAGTCTGGCGTCGCTCCAGCATCCGACACCCCTTTGGTCTCCAGCGCGCCGAGGTCCTGGCCGGCTTTGCCATGTCCGTCTTCCTCGTGTTTGGCGGCTTCGACCTGCTCTCGCACAACATCAAGCATGCTTTGGAAAACGTAGGCGAACATGCGCCTCACCACCCTCTACCCGATACCTTGGACGACATGAGCGCGAGCATGGCCCCTTCGACACCGATAGCGCACATCCATGCCCACGACGTCACTACTCCGCGGGTTTCGGCCGGCGCCGTCGATTTCGCCAGCTTAGCCGCCATTCTCAGCACGCTGATCAGCGCCTATGGCCTGCGCAACCACAGCCGCATCGGCCGCGTTATGCGCGTGCCCCTGCCGTACCTGCGCAAGCTCCTGCCGCACGCAGGCATCCTGTCCAACCCCTTCCACCTGCTGACCACGTTCTTCGCCTGCGTCATGCTGCTCCTCCCGCTACTTAGCGTCTCGTACTTTGTCTGGCTCGACCGGCTCATCTGCGCGTCGATAGCCGTCAGCATGTTTGTGTTGGGCACCCGGTTGGCGATTGCGCAGGGGCTGATGTTGTTGATGAGTTACTCTGGGCCAAGAGACATGCCATCTGCACCATCATCCTCTTCCTCGTCTGCCATGGATAAGAAAACGGATAATTCAGGGACAGAAAGCAGTAACAACAGCCAAGTCTCGGCTGTCGTCCGTGAGATCGAATCCGAACCTCAAATCAAGCGCGTCGAGGAGGCTCAGTTCTGGCAAGTGCACTACGGCCTGGCCATGGCCAACCTGAAGGTTTGTCTGGCTACCAAGAGCTTGGACGATGGCGCCCTGGCGCAACTGAGGAGCAGGTTGACGAGGTTGGTGCAGAATCGGCTGGGTGAGGGGTATGGAAGGGGGTCGAATTTGAGATGGGAGGTTACAGTGCAGATGAGTACTGATTCTACGTAATTTACGCCGTAAAGAAGGGATTTTACATATGTTGATAATGGACGGGATGTTTTTTTGTGATAAGACAATTGGAAAAGGGGTATGGTGTTTTTCGTAACGATGGTGGTAGTTTTGTTAGGTATTTTACCACCGCGTGTTTATTTAGCAAGCGAGAAGAGGCAATGGAAAGAAAGTCTTGTTGATATCAGAACAAGAAGCGTTCCTTCCTACAACGTACTTGTCGTAATCCAAGTCCCATGTCAGTTCACAGTGATCATGTTAATCTCTCATTCTTTCGTCCACCAGTAGAGGCAAGAACACGTAATGTGAACAAAACGGATGAAACTGAACACAGTAAAACTAGTATATGAAGCACCCTTTTTTGATATGACGACGCTAATCAATTCCCTGATTTGCCTGCCTGCCTTTGCGGTATCAAACACCAGTAGTAGTAATAAGACCAACTCGCTTCCTCCATGCGAATAACTGACAAAAACCCCCAACCAAGGAACCTAATCAAAAATGAGAATTCTCAAGCAAGCACACGAACGCCCTTCTACCTCCGATCCCTTCCTTACTGACTGACTGGCCTATAAATAGACAGAATCCTCCCAATCCTTTGCAACAAGAAAATCTGTTGTTTCTTCCTCCTCCTCCTCCTCCTCCTTCTTCTTCTTCTTCTCTCTTCTAGAGTCAATTTCACGCCCTTACCCTCCCTTCCCTTTCCTATCCATCACACTCTCTCTGCTTGCTTGCTTAAAACCCAAACCTCCCCCTCGAAGACCCCGACCCCTCTCTCGACGAGTTCTTCTTACCCAAGTTCCCGTTATAAGCCCTATGCCCATGCCCATGATAGTTATGAGAATCAACATCATCATCGCTCCTGTTAAACCTCCTGAGCCCCTCAATCTTGGACAGCACGAGCTCGAGGAGCTCCTTGCGGCGGATCAGATCCAGGTGTCTCCGGATGCGGGGGTCCTCGGAAGCGAAGCGCTCGAGCCCACCGCCGAGCATCTGCTCGCCCAGCTTGGACTCGACCTCGCGCGGGAAGCGGGCGTAAAAGTCGTTGAGCATCTCGACGTTGAGGAATAGCACCGACGTCTGGGTGAGCTTGGTGGCGACGGCGTCGAGGAAGACCTCGGGGCAGTAGTATTTGTTCTCGAGCGACTTGCACTGGCGCGACTTGACGGCCATGATGCGCATGTTGATGATGTCGGCGCGGTCGCGGAGGAAGACGGCTTCGCGGCCTTTTTTGTTGTTAGTTTATATGTTTTGGAAAGGGGATGAAGGAAGGGAAAGAAACATACCCTTCTGGAGCAAAGCAGCGCTGAATCCACCGGCGCCGTTCCTGGTCTCTCCCTCGACGACAATCTCACACTTGCGGGCCTTATCGACAAAGTTCATGACCTCCTTCAGCTTCCTCTTGCCTCCGACGGAGTTCTCCAGGTTACCCATGGCTCTCTGGCACTGGTCCAGTTCCATCTTCAGGACACCGGCAACGTGATCCCGTCCTTGCGACCATTCCTGTGGCTGGATATCGACTTCGTACTTGTAAGGCTTGAGAGAGAACTCGATACCGTCGCTGGTGGTGTATGAGCGATCGGCGAGGACGGTGGCCGCAGCTTCGTTGATGACCTGGCGCGCAGAGGGGTGCTTGGCGAAGGTCGACTTGTTGACGAGCTTGTCCACGTTGGCCTGGATGGCGTTGGCGACAACGGTAGCGGCCAAACGACCGACACCCAGCCTGGTCAATGCCGAAGTGGCGGTATCGAGCTGCATATGCCAAAACTGCGAGTTAGGGTCGGCCTTGGGAAGGTCGGCAATGTTCTCCGGCTCAAACGGAGCAGGGGAGAGATCCTCGATAGGCTTGTTCCAATACTTGGCTGCCAACTGATCGAGAACCCGCTGATCGAGGGCTTCCTTCAGCAATTGCTGCATCTGGGGACGGCCAAAGCTGGAAGCAAACCTCTTGAAGGCGTGCTTGAAATCGTCTAGACTCGCGGCGAGATAGGCCTCTGCGGTCATGGGCTCCTCATTGTACTGAACCTTAAACTGGTAGGAAGTCTCTTCGAGTTCGCGTTGAATGGCCGCTGTTGTATCCTGTAGCTTCGATGACATCTGCTGTTCTAAGACATGCATGAGCTTCTTGCGTAGTGTTACGGTGCCGAGGTTGACACCAGAGTCTGGGCCGAATTCGGGATGAGTGCTGAAGTAAGACTTTTCGTTTTTACTGATCTGTCTCAGGAGAGCACCGGTATCCCGTTTGAACAGTCCTGTTTGCTGAGGAGCTCTGGAAATCACACCAACGTAACCCAGGCGTAGAGGATATTGCTTGTCGCTCAGAATTGCAGCACCCTTTTCCGGATCAACCAAATCCATCTTGGTAATGACACCAATCGTCCGCTCTCCCCTTGGGTCAACCCTACGGCTTGCCTGCAAGGCGGTCGAGTTGGCCAGATCGACATCGGCAGCAGAAATGGCGAGAATGATGTTGGGTCCTCGGATATACTTGTCGCAAAGTTCCGAAATCTTGCGCTTGAGCTCCCGGGGTTGGTTCTCTCCAGCAACCTGGATGTACCCGGGCAGATCGATCAAAGACAGGTCCGGAACTCGGGGCGAGTGGATGGTAAGACGGATTGGGTCGTCCGAGACACACTGGTGTTCGGGGACGGACTGGTTAAGCTCGGTAAGGTTCTTTTGGACCAGGGAGAAGTCGGTAATTCTGTGAAGGCCGAGGTCCGGAAATTCAGCGTAATCGGCGCTGACCTTGGGGTCGTTCACCAGCGTTAACTCGATCGGTCGGCGAGTGATCATGTTGTTGCCCTTGGGCAGGAACTCATGACCGACAATAGCTTCGAGAACGGAGCTCTTTCCTGACGATTGAGAACCGATGACAACGATGGAGGGCAGGGTGACGGTGCTCGACTGGCCAACCTTCTGGAGTAGGTTTCGAATCTCGATCATCATCTTGGTCATGTACATCATCTGATCGTCTTTGGAGATCTCCTCAGGAGTCCGGTCGTCCTCCTCGGCCGCATCATCGTAACCATAAGCAGCTGCTGAAGCACCAACGGCGGCGCCCATCCTTGCTTTCTTAGGGGGCTCGGGTCCTCCAGGCCCAGAACCATTGTTGTTGCCACCTTCCTGTCCGCCTTCTGATTTGAAAAGGTTCCCTAGCCATTCAGGCAGCTCGAGTTCTTCCTTTGTGTTGTCCCAACCTCGCTTGGTCTGTTCGGCAATATCGACGGCGCTGCCCCATAGACCGGAGGCGGTTGTGGTGACGGTATTTTTGACGTTGCCAAAGACTTCTTGGGCCGAGTTGCTCACCTCTGTGTGTCTGTTAGCGTGGGTCCTCGGCTACCAGCAGACTCGGGCAGCAAGTTGCTTACGGATGGCCTGGTACTGGATCCATGCGACACCTCCAATCATCACGGTGCCGAACAATGCAGGGATGCGCGCAAACTTGAGGGCTAACTTGGGGAGAAGGCGGATAAAGGAGGCATTCCGAACGATGACGGCGTTATGGTAGGAGTTGGCGGGGAAGCGCATCGAGCGCCTCAATGCTCGCGAGGCATGCTCGGTTCGTTGAAGGCCGCCGGTAGGGAGCTGGCTATGGTATGGGCGAATAGCTCGGAGAGTAACACGCCGGGCGACGGGGCCCAGAGCCCCGGCAGCGCGAAGCTGTGCGCTCATGATGGAGAAACGACGGAGCGGTGCCTGTCTCGGATCATGCAATCAGGCAAGGCATCTAGGCGTCGATCAAAGAGCGAGGGTCGTGGTCGTAGTTGTCGGCGTCAACGTCGTCGTCGGTGTCGTATGTCGGTCTCAGAGGGCGCAGGACCCTTTGAGTCGGATAAAAAGAAGTCCGGGCGTGATCGCGGAGTCGAGATCGGGTAGTGTTGTCGTCAGTTGTTCATTGATGCTCAGGGAGCCGAACGGGATTCTTGGAGCCGCGCCAGCCCGCCAAACTCACCCCACTCACAAAAACTGGGACCGTGGGCGGGATTGGATCGAACAGACGACGGGACCTGGTTCAGGTTACGACTGCCATGAAGTGGGGCTTTAGCTGTTAGTGCTCTAGGGTTGGTTACTGCCAAATCATATCTAGGTTGCCAAATCCTATTGAAGTCACTAACTGTAAGCCAAGACCCTGAGATCCCTCAGTCGCTTCGCCCACGATGGGAAGGGATCTTGGGATTTTGGGATTTTCTGTAGTCTGTACATAGGCATTGCCCCTGATATGAGAGTGTGGGTAGCTGACATGAAACCAGATCTTCCATTGTTGCCAAGGCTAGGAACAATGAGTTGGTGTGATTGTGTACACAGCAAGTGCACAATGATGGTCCGTCCCGTTGCAAACAAGCGAAACAGCCGCGGAGTTTAAGCACCCATTTGCTCCGGAGGGTGTCGCCATGTTTGTGACTCGGGTAATTCACATTGGAAAACCTTGGACCATCTCGTATAAAGAGGCTGATATTTTGCCCGATATCCCCGGGGAATTTGTATATTCTATGCTTAGACAGCAGCAAAAGAAACCCACACATATCTCCCAGTGTGATGGCAATACAGGCTCGGCTACAATCAAGATACATGGAACCCTGGGCAGTTGAACTGTTTGTTACAGTAGTTCTACTGGTCAGTTGCGAGGGTCTTTGTTCGCGCCAGGGACTTTTTTGTCCGACTGGAAGAGCGCGAGACATGAATAGGGCATCAGAGTGTTGAGGTTGTTGGATGAAACATGTAGAAAACGTCAGACAAAAAAAGAAACGGCCGCGCTTCCGTCGATGCCGCCCCGTCCGCCGTTCCCCGGCCAGTGCTTCCCGTCGACATCGACCCGACATCAATCTGAATCGTGCGCCTGCAGTGCTGAGAATGTGCCAGTCGCGCCTGTCGCAGTGTGGCAAGCCTGGAGATCCTGGGAAAGACTGCAAAATGCCCCAAGAAATGGGTGGGTCCCGGCTGTTGCGCCTTGCATTCCGCCATTCTCGCAGGCGATGCCGTCAGCCCTGAATGGGCGGGACTGGCATGACTGGACGCGCTGCGGCAACCTTGCACTAGACCCTAGATTTAATCCCATCTTACCGTCTTTCCATTCAGCTCCGCGTCTCGGTCTTTGCCCAAAAGGGCCCAATTACCCAATCCCGCATTCCACCTTTCTTCTCCAGGATAGGACTCATATTTGAACCCTTTGTATCGGCCCAGTCCTTGTTGGTCATAGACTCGCTTGGCCCTTTAAAGTCCCGTCGACATCCTCGCTGCTTGTCCCCTTCGTCATTGCGCTTCTAGAAGACAACAAACAATACGATCCTCTCCGATCCTGGAAGCCAGCCCGACCTGGCGACGTCAGCCTAGCGCATTCAGCAGCAAACAGTACGCCTCAATTCAACGACACGGTAGCAATTAGTACGACGCTCCCACGCTGCTGCAGACGAGCAATTGCCGGCATCGTCACACCTTAGCTTCATCCTCAGTCTACACCGTTCGGCCATGTGTCGGTTCTTGGTAAGACGACAACCACCCTCGATCCCGTTATCGCGTCATGAATGTTGACTAACCGGTGCTTCAACAGGTATACAAGGGAAGCGACGAGATCTTGCTCTCCAAGCTGGTCCTCGACCCCGCCCACTCGATTCTCAAGCAATCCTTCGATTCTCGATTGCGACTGGTATGCGATTCCCCTGTGTTCGCTCTTTGTGGCCCTTTCCTCCTCGAGCGATAGTGACTCACCATTATCCCATCGAATAGGACACCCGTCGCGGCCAAAACAATGCAGATGGCTTCGGCATAGGATTCTACACAGACCCCAAGCTCGGTTCCGCCCCTTGCTTGTTTACTTCGACAACTCCCGCCTGGAACTGCCAGAACCTACAACGCCTTGCCTCCAAGACCGCCTCACATCTCGTGTTCGCCCATGTCCGAGCCACCACCGAGGGCACTTTGAGCGAGGACAACTGCCACCCTTTCTGCCATGGAAGTCTTATGTGGATGCACAACGGTGGATTGGGGGGATGGAAGTACATCAAGAGAAGACTTGGCGAGCGCCTTGCCGATAAGTGGTACCTAGGTGTGGCGGGCGGAACCGACAGCGAATGGGCCTTTGCTCTGTTCCTCGATACACTGGAGCGCATGGGCTTTGACCCAAGCTCGCAGCCGGAGGGTGGTTTTGGACCGATCGTTTTGCGAAAGGCTATGCTCAGGACAATTGACATCATCAATGAGCTGATCGACGGTATCCCGGAGAGTCTGGTCCACTCGGAAAATATCGACACCCGCAGTCTTTTGAACTTCGCCCTTACAGACGGGCACTCGATCATTTGCACCAGATACGTCGGTAGTTCGACAGACGAGGCTGCTAGCCTATACTACTCCTCCGGAACGTTGTGGGAGACGAGGGAGGCGGATCCTGCGAACCGGGACTACCAGATGGAGCGGAGCGACAAGGGGGCTGACGTCGTGCTGGTCGCGAGTGAGCCGTTGTCCTTTGAAAGGGGTATGTTTAACCAACTAATGGGAAATCAACTTCATGGGACGGAGCTAACAAGCCGTATAGAAAACTGGGTAAACGTGCCTACCAACTCGATCTTGACCATTCACAACCAAACTGTTCTAGTACATCCTATCAAGGACCAGTACTATGAGCAGGATCCGCAACAACGTCGTTCTACGGCTTTCGTCAGTTCGAAGGGCTTGGCCGCGAACGAGAAGACGTCATCACGCGGCGCTGCCGCAACTCTCATGCCATCCATCGAGATTGAAAGTCCCCAACAACACGCCCAGAAGAAGTTTTTGGGTCCGATAATACCATCATTCACCCCCAACCGGGGCCGAACAACTACAGATCCCGCTGGAGTCCGAGGCCGGACCCCGCTAGCAAACGTCGAGACAGCTAGCAGCTCGTCTAACGTACCTGATGTCCGTAACATCACGGCGCCTCCGCAGCTACTGCGGGCAGGATCCCAGCAACCGCCCACCCAAGGAAACATCAAGAAGAAGCGTGCCTCGTTGAGCGCCGCTTTGGGAGAGCCTTACTCGGCAGCCAGCATAGGCTACAGCCTCACCTCCACCTTGACGAACAATAGCACGACCAGTAGCATGATTAGCACAGACACAGCAACGAGTCCCCTGACTCCGGAGCCGGGCCGGTCTGAGTTTGGAAATCCGAATAAGATCGCTCAGTTCTTCCCGGAGCTTACGCCATACCACTGAAAGGCTAAACAGGAGGTTCTTTTGTGGCCTGTGGGCTTTTGATGGTTTTCTCTTTGCTTGTGGATTCAGGGTAACGGTTCATGTTCGGCGTTGGTGGTTTAGAATAGGTCTATCAGGTCAGTCAGGGTCGAGTCTAGGCCTCGCGGTCAGCAGCAGCAAGCGGGCGTTACGATGGTGTTGCGCATTACGCCCCTTATCATAAGGGTTTGGGGAGTGAAAGAGGGATGTCTCATGTACTAGCTACATTGTAGTAATCTTGCAGCGAGGGCCTTTACTAGGCTCCTCCATGATAATTTGTCGTTGTCAAAGTTTCAGTGATCGAGAGTTGCCTGTTCGATGACATGAGGTCCAACTAGTTTTCCACAATGAAGGCGAAGGCATCAATTGTCCGACGAAGCTATCAATAACATCGAAATAAAGGAAGTATTTTGAGGGTTCAAAGCATCAGTAAACGTGATGGTAAAACGTACAACTGTTTTTGAACATCGTGGATCTTTGAGATAATCATCACTTCGGTTGACCTGGCTCAGTATGACACGTATGTCCTTGAAAGACATAACGGATGAGCAGATGATCTTAAGGCATGAAAAAGAACTCTTTAGGTATCTAGGTAAAGGTAAGTGACTACTTGCTTAATCTGATCCTTCAATGTTTGTTGTGTAGGACCGGTCCCATGATGATGTATACTCATACACACGCTACTACCACCTTCCACTAATCAGCCTGCCGTGCTGAACTTGCTTAATGTTTGGACTAGGCTTGAAACAGATTACCCATCATGACACCGACACCGCTATCTCACTTCTTCTCCTGCTGCTGCTGCTGCTTCTCCTTGCTACTTCACCCATTCAACAAGCACTTCACCTCCTTCCAGCCGACGCCGCCCTCCTGGCCTTGCCAGGCCTAGGCGCAGGCTTGAACTTCTTGGGCTTGCTGCCGCCTCCTGGACCGCCGGCGCGACCACCCTCTCCGCCGCCCGATTTCATCTTCCTTGCGCTGAACCCGCTCACGTCGCCCGACGAGAGCGCGTCGTTGGATTTGGTGTACTTCTTCTTGCCGCCGAAGCCGAACTTGTCGTTCTTCCGTTGCCTCTTGGCGTTGGGCCCACCAGACTCCTTGCCGTCGCGGCCGCGCTTCTTGCTGTTGTCCTTGCTGCCGGGCTTGCCCTTGAGCTCGTTGTCGACGGCGACGTCGAAGAGGTCCTCGGCTTCGGTGGCGCCGGAGGGGCCACTGCCGTCCTTTCTCTCTGTTGAGGGGGAAAAGGGGAGGTTAGTGGGATGATTGTCTTGGGTGAAATGGAGGATATGGAAGCGAAAGGAAGGGGATGAATGGGAGGAAAACACGTACTCTTCTTGAGAAGCTCGATCTTCTCGAGGGTATCACGCTTCTGCTTGGCACGCTCCTGCTGCTTGGCCACCTGCACCTGCTTGCCGAACTTCTTGAGGTCACGCTGCTTGCGCGCCTCGGCCGAGGCCTTCTTGGCCGTGGCCTCCTCGATAAGCTTGGCCTTGACCTTCTCCATGGTCTCGTCGCTGCGCAGCGTCTCGGCGAAGTAGTCGGTAGGGCGGGTGAAGGGGACACCCTCCTTGCGGAGAAGGGCGCGGCCGACGCGGGCGGCCTCGAGCGCCTGGTTCATGAAGGCCAGCTCGCGGGCCAGGTCGTCATCGATCGCGGGGATGGACTCTTCCGTCACCTTCTTGGAGACGACGGACTGGTGGAAGGCGAAGGGGACCTTGTCGCTTGTGCCGAGGGCGAAGCGCTTGAGCGCCGTCAGGAGACCTTGCTTGTTGTTTATTGTTTGGCGCGCCTGCGAGATGGCCTTGATCTCCTCTCCCTCCTCTCCCTCGGCATCGAGGTCGTCAATGTCGATCTCATCCTCATCCTCCTCGTCGCTAGACTCCTCCTCGGCGGCGTTCTGGTACTTGTTCGCCTGGATGCCGGCGGCAGATTGCTTCTCGTTCAGGTCGCGCTCGAATTCTGAGTCGGAATCGGATTCGTCAAGTGCATTAAGATCGAGATCGTTCTCCTCCTCGTCGTCGCTACCGTCCTCGGAATCTGAACCGGTCTCCTCTTGTTGCTCTGGTTGCTGCTTGTCGGCCTTGGTCTGAGTGGTAGTTTCCTCCTCATTCTGCTCCTCCTCGACCTCCATCTTGTCCTCTACGGGGGTCTCCTCGACGACCTGCTTGGGCTTTCTGCCACGCTTCTTCTGCTCCTTCTGGGGCTTCTCCTCAACGACCTTCTCGACCTTTTCAGGCTCGGCAGCCTTGGTGGCCGGCTTTTTTGTGCGGGTGGACTGTCGCGGCATTGTGAATAATGTGGGGTTGCTGTACAATTGATTTGGATGATGAGCTCGAGAAGCGGCAGCGCCTGCAGTTCTGGAAACTTTTTTTTGACATGGCTGCCATTGCCCGATAAGATAAGCTTGGTGGGTCGGCGGCTTTCTTGGCGCCCAGTGTACCCACAGTCTAGCCCCTGGAAGTCCCCTTCACATTCTCTGCGAACCTGGGACTTCAAACCCTAACCCTTATATCCTCTGCTGGGCCGGTATTGACGGCGATGTTCATGATACTCTGCGTTTTCTCTGGGTGATTTGCATAGATGAAAAGACCAACTACCATAAGATAGTCCTTCGCCTATTTATTTTTGCTTTGTCGATATCTGTTGATGTGGTTTCATGACAGACTTCGGAAATATTAACTGGAAAACGGTCTTGTCCTGCAAACATCACAAAACAAAGCCCAAGCTAAACAAGAAGTGATTAGGCATGTTTGAAGCGTGATTGGAGTCTTTGCCATGGCGTTCAGTCTGGCATTCTGGCGCAAATGGCAGTCGTCAAAGTAACTTGCTTTCTTGCAGATTCCTTCACAGCTCTATCGCTGAAAGGAATTGTTCAGAAGAGTACCATGTAGAACATAAAGCATTTGATAGCAGAAAAGCCACAATCACAATCACAGTCAAGGATAGATGCAAAGACATGGTGTCAACCGGGCGGTTTTTTATCAAAAGAACTAACACTCTTCAAATCCTCCACTCGAGTCCCCTCACCCCCGCAATCCATCCCCTTCGCAAACCGAGAGTAGAAAGATACAACAAAGTCCCCCCATAATGGTCCTCCACCTCCAGAAGCTCCATCCCGCGAGTCCTTCCACCATCCCGAGTGAGGGAGGAAGATTTTCCCACTTCACAATCCTATCCAAAGAAAATTCTCAAGAAAAGCGCAAAGAGAAGAGAGTGGTGAACCAAGCGCCGAAACCAACCCCTTCCAGCTCCACCGAGAAAAGAGAGAAGCATGTCGCGAAATAGCTCCCTTCCAGCTGATGAAAACAAGTCGAGACTGGAGGTCCGAGTCCGCCGACTCACAGGAGTGTAGTTTGCCGAAAGTTGAGTACCGAAAAGAAGTTGCTGTATCGTTTTCCCGCCGGCGATTTCCTCAGTTTGCGAAGAGTGTTTGATGATTGAATCAACGACGAAAAGAAAGAAAAGGGTGATGAAGTTGTTGCCCGAGTGTCAAAAGGTGAAGAAGGTGAAGGCTCCGTGTGGACGAAAATGGTCCCGTGTGAAGTTATCCCCAACAAAAAGAAGCGAAGATCGTGTATGAAGGATGGTGTGTGACATGTGTCGGATGTATATCCCCGGTTGACGAAAGTTTCTTTTCCATTCCCATCAAGGAAAGATCCTCACCGCTCTGGTGTTGTCGAGTGGTTGTGCTCCCATTGTGCAGAGCGCCACCATGAAAGCAGAACAAGAAACTTCCTAGGCGAGGTTGCTGTTGTGGCGAAACAAGAGTTGGGCTTTCCCGAGAGAGAGGGGAAAAGAAGGTTGCTGGTCTGACGTTGAGAGGCGAGATACCGATTCTCCCGTGGATCTCGGTGAGTGATATTGGTGGTTTGTCGGAAGATTGCTGGAGGAAAGCTGGTTGGAATCCACCTCTCAATGCTCTCGTTGCCCTTCAAGACAACTGTGAGGTTATTTACATAACAACGCAGTAGCCGTTGAAGTTCATGGTGGTCTGGGGGACCTTGGTGGAAGCAGCGGTGGAAGGCATGTTGATGGTTTTAGGGTTGTTTGATAAATGGATTCAAAGGCTGTTGTGGGATGAGGAGGAAAAGGAAATCCAGAGTTGGGCAGGAGGAGACTGACGTTCTTATAGATTTTCCACTGCGCTGAATCTCCTAACGAACTGTCAGTCTGAAGCTATCTCCTCCAATCTTGCCTTGCTATTATCGATCTTGGACCAGGGGATGAAGAATGACACTGCACCACCAGACTTGCCATCACGCAGACTTGTTTGACAGAATGAAGGTGACTTCAATGGCAAACAAACGACGGCTTCGACGGGCTGTCCTATTCCATCATGAGCTGAGCGCTTAGTATTGTGCGCATCTTGAGATTGTTCTCGACGAACAAGGGACTATCTTTGCCATCTTTCATCCCTTCGCTTAAAATGGAGACATGCCACTGGAGGATGTCAAGAGATGTAAGGCAACACTTGCACGTGGCACTCGCGTGTACACAAGCCCGATAAGGTTCTAGAATGCAACGTCCTTGTGCATGATCGAAGTTAATATTATTTTTGCTTCTTGCTATTGTTGTTTACGCATACCGCTTTGCGTAGATTTGTGGCAGCTACTCAGGGGTTTGTTTGGCTGGTGATGTGTGGCGCTTAGTATTGTTCCTCCTTCCTATTGTTCCTCCGCCCCACCAAAAAAGGACTCGACGTCAACTCGACACCGACAACGTCAATCATCCCAACAATGCATGTGGACCCTTCTTTCTTCGGCCCCGAAACCTTTATGTATGCCGATGAAGAAATTGTGATACGGTGTTGCGTGTGCATAGTCCTCCTCGGAAATCGCCGTCTATCGCAGACTCGCGGTGAACCGCTGAGGTTGGTGATGCGAGGCTGGCCATGATTCTTTTAACGAAGGGAGACCAAGGAATCCGGCGGCAAGCAGTTCGAGTCCGTTTCCATCCATTTAAAACCGAGTAAAGGGAAGCCTGCTCTTGTCAGCTAACGTGCGGCGGCGACAGGAACACAATTTGACATACCACTTTCCCTTGAGGGTGATGACCACCCACGCGGCACCAGTCTCGTCGACTTCTTTGTCAACAGTAGTGTTGAAGCAGATCGCGCTCATGATTCCGTCGCCGAACTTCTCATTCATGACAGCCTTGAAGGCATAGCCATAGTTCTGGACGATTTCGTACAGACGGTAGATCAAGGGCTCAACTGGAGGCATGGGCCTGCCCGCCGCGATCAGGGAATCCCATCATCTGCGCAGCAATGGCTTCCTTGGGAACACTGAGCAATTCAGAGAGCTTGTCGACATCCTCAGCTGAGGCCTGGACTTGGCCGTAGAACAAACCGGCAACGGCAACTTCACTCCGGCCCAGATGCTGGGCAATGGCCTCGAAGGTCAAGCCCTTTTGTGTCTTGGCCTCAAAGAGGGATTGGGAGTAGGCCGGGAGGCGGCTGACGATAGAACTCTGTTTGCCTCATCATTTAGCGTCACATGTCTAGGAGGGATTAAAAGAATATCGTACATCGAGGGTAGCGAGTCTCTGTTGTTCAGGCATATGGTGTTTGATATCGGTGAACCGTGTAAATCAGTCTTGAAGTCAGTAAAGAAGATAGTTGAAGTAATCAGAGTGCCCAGTTACAACACAATGAATGGCTCTTGTTTATTTTATATCAAGGCAGTAGACCTCTTCAACTGGAACGCTGGCTGACCATCGACTGAAGGTCATGAATAACACAGCCGAGAGGGGGCAGAGGGGAATACTATGCCGTACCAATCGCCGAGAGGATCATACCCCGCGCCCCGCCTCTCCTCTTCTCCTTGGCTGGTTGAGGTAGTGCCGTCGGAGAAATGCCGGAGACTCGGGAACGTGATCCAAATAGGAAACCAAAGTGGCCCGAGACGATGATGACCAGAATGTAAATAATCGATCGGGGGAACAAGTCAACAGCGGGCGATCAGAAAGCGACTGCCGACACCGCCTAACAAGGCGCAGAGTTACCGTAGTGCACAACAGTAGCACTTAGGCATCCTCACAACCTTTCGCGAAATGCAATGGAGGTTGAGACCGCTGCGTTGCCTTGACAACCACGGCCAGGTTTATGAAGACAAAACGATACCACAGAAAAATGATATGCTCGTCTTTTGTCCCAAGTTCCAGCTTGCTATTATATCGCAGAAGGAGATCTTTGCTCAAATGAAAGAGGCGGATGATTGCGACGGTGAACTGTAACAGGTGAGGGGCGGCTCTGTGATCACGACCAAAACATTCAATGTTGCGCACTGGGTGGAATTGGCAGAAATGGGGATTGTTAAGGTTGTGTCGTATGTGGGGTTGCAGCAGTGGATCAATCTTGAGGTGGGTCTCAAGCTGCATCCTCCACTGGTGGATCCTGTCATGGAACAGCCCGTTGGACGCACGAGCCCCATCAGCTAAGTGGGTACAATTGCCTTATCTTATCGGAGTTGTGGGGAATTTTTTTGCAACAACGAACACTCAATCCATCAGGGACCAGCATCATTTGACCTTGACTGGACATCGGCTGAAGCACAGCCTGGAGACAGTTCAACAGCAAGCCTGAAACGTTCACGATGCCTCACAAACATACTCGTCGCGAGAAGGATTTGTCGACGTAAGTAAACAAAGGCGCATCATCACGCTCAATTGGATGGAGGTCTGACTTGCGACACAGCTTCGACCTTCCCCCAACCCAAATAGCGAAGCCGCTCCCGCCCACGACTATCTCGAAGAAAAAGGCGCCCGCACAAAACAAGAAGAACGATGGTATCCAGAAGACTTCGTCTAAAAGGAAACGAGCGCCTGAAACTCAGGATGCGCCGCGCGCCTTCAAGCGTCTAATGGCTTTTGCCGAAGGAAGGAAGCCGCGCTCCGGGCTCGACAATGGCGCACCGCCACCCAGCAAGAAGGCCAAGAAAAAGGCTGCTGCCGCCGCCGCTGCCGCCGCTTCCAACGAGACGCCCGCTCCCGAGAAAGAGAAAGAAACCGAATCAAACCCCGAACTCAAGATCCGACCAGGCGAGAAGCTTTCAGAGTTCAGCCAGCGTGTAGACGCCGCGCTACCCATCAGTGGCTTGGTGAACAACAAGGCCAAGAATGGCAAGGACCCGCTTGGCCTCAAGATTTGGCGAACAAGGAAGGAGATGAAGATGCACAAACTCTATGACGAATGGAGGGTACAGGACGCCAAGATCAAGGAGAAGAGGGAGGAAGAGCTCGAAGAGCTAGAAGAGAAGGAGATGGAGGAGGAGGCCATGGGCGTCACATGGAAGCTGAACCAGGAAGCGGGGAAGAAAAAGAAGGGCAAGAAGGGCTCGAGGTACCTTGGCGAGTCTAAGGACAAGGAGGATGACCCTTGGGAGGAAATCAAGAAGAAGCGAGGTGAGGCCAAGATTGGTCTCAACGAAGTGGCGGACGCCCTCCCGAGTTGAAGATTCCCAGCAAGAAGCTGCTTGTCAAGGGAGCGATGGTCGATGTTGATGGGATTCCCAAGTCGGCGGGAAGTTTGCGGCAGCGTGAGGAGCTACAAAAGGTCCGCGAAGACGTGGTGGCACAATACCGCAAGCTTATGGCGGAGAGGAGACCCAATACGCTTGTTTAGCTAGGCGGATTGGGTGATGGATTGCATTTCAATGGAGTTTTGTATGGCGGCAATCAAAAGGCTGGCACGCATCTGATAATGTTTTTACAAGGAGCGTAATCGAATTCTTTGCAGGGTAATGCTATAACCTGAAGTGATAATAAACAACTGCTCGCTCATTGCTGGCTTTGAATACAGAGGTCAATCCTTTGGTGATAGTGCACATCATGGTTGCCGAGCGCCATGGCATCCCAATCGGTGCAGGCACCTTCCAAACCTGTCGGTGTCAGTGATAAGAAGGTGAACTGAGCACCACTGCACTCGTCATTCGTCATCGACACTCGCAATCAGGAAATGGAAAGAGCACTTCCATTGCGATTCTGAGACGACGGGAGCTTCCTCCAATTGCACCCCACCCCATAAAAAAAATCCTCAATCCCCCACACAGCGGACGGACCTGGACCTGGCCAAAGTGGAAGTTGCGAAACGGAAAGTGCTCATTGCTCTAACAAATTTTCCATTGCCCTCGTCGCATGTGCCGGTCCGTCAAACCTTAACAATTGCCCCTCGTCTGCGCCTGCCATCTTATCTTCATCTGCTGCTCGTCCCCCTCCATTCACTTGTACCGACTGCAGTGGGCAGCGAGAAATCAGAAACAGCGGCATTTCTTTTGCACGGTCCAGGTCGATAACCACAAAAAATTTCCTGCTCCGGTCGCACTCGAACCGAGATCCTTTCCCTGGGCCCCAACAAGCGAAAACCTCCAACAATTAACCCAGTCCGCCCAGTCGGCTTACAACCGCTTGCCACTACTACCCAACGAAAAAAATTGCATCGCGAGAGATCTTCGGTTCGAGTCCCAGCATCAAACTTTCCACCATCCTTTTTTATCGTTTCATGCCAACCGTCATGTACCACGGTTCTCACTCATTATGAGCGGCGTTGGTCTCGAGGTTTTGCTCGAGGGTCTCATTCCCGAGATCGCATATTCTGGAGAAAAAGGTGAGTTTTTTTTTTCTTTCTTTTTTTCATCTTTTTTTTTCATTCTGCGTTTATTATTATCATGCGCATCAATCCCCCAAGCCAACAATCTTGATCCTCTTACACCCAACATCTCGCTGCATCATCGTCTCCTTGGCAACAAACATTATGAGATTTGCTACTCAGCTTGCGCTACTCTTGTTTGCAGTCAAGTCCAGGGTGCCTTGTCGCAGACTGCAGAAAACACAAAGTGATGCATCTTTGAAATGAACTTAGATACTGACTTAGTTTGATTTTACAAAGGCGTGTCTGTCTCTGCACTACTCAAAATCGTCCGTCAGTATCACAACACTCTCGATGCACGACAAGATGCAACTTCAGGAGAAGACATCGCTGCTGTGGCGGCGCAGATCACACAGAAAGATGAAGAGAAGCTCGATGAAAGCTCATTCTCGCCCGCTGAGATGGTCTCAGCTCGCTGGGCTTGGGACTGGCTGCGTACCCGACCACAAATTCTGATCAACAAGAACAAGCGCTACAACAAGCTTGAGCTACAAGAAGTTCTCGCCTTACCCGAAGCTGCTGAGAGCAATGGAGCAGAAGTTGATGACGGCCCTGCCGACATTCCCAAAGAGAAAGAAGCCGCACCAAAAGCGAAAAAGGCGGCGTCCAAACCCATCAAAGCAGCTGCCTCTCAGAAGAAAGCCTCAAAACCGAAATCCAAGAAGGCCGCACTTACTGTTCGGCCTCGAATCTACCCTGCCGAAGACCTTGTTTGGCAGACTCTCACTCGCCATGGTGTGGACTACAAGAGAGTCCCTGTTCTTGAATGGAAGTGTCTTCTTGGTATTGCCTCTGTTAGAGACAAAGGCATTCTGCAGAGCGATCTTCGAAGATTGGTGGACCAGGACAAGCGTTCCCTTCCCAAGCGAACCGATTCCCTCGCCAGAAAAGGCTACATCGCAAAGCGGACAATCGTGGTGTCGAAGATGAAAACTAGCAAGCTCTGGCTTATCGACTTCGCGCCTCCCATTCTGGAGACTGAGACTGGTGGACTTGATTTGTCGGTCGAGACGCTTACCAAGGACCTGGAGCCTGTTACCTGGCATGATCGGTGGACTAGGGATAACATCGACATGGAGGCTTTCGCTCGGACCTTCGTCGGCGTCGTCAAGGCATGGCAAGTCATTCGCTATGCCGATTTGAGGTCCAAGATGGGCGTCGTGGGGAAGCACTGGCAGATGAAGACCCTTGCCAAGAACTGTCAACGCATCGTCGACTTGGGTGTTTTGAAGTACACTGCTGCCACCTTTCCTGGCGCACGTAAAGTCTTCAAGGACTGTCTCAAGTTCATAAGAGACCCAACGGACGAGGAATGGGAAAAGTTTCTTGCCACAGGCAAGAAGACATCACTCTACTCGGACGCTACGCGCCATCGTGAGCCAAAACCTAACGCGCTTGCCCTCTTCGGAAAAGCCGCCAAAGCCGACGAGGCGGCGAAAAATGAGCCCAAGCCCAAGCGTCGCCGCATCTTTCCTGGCTGGACTCCAGAAAAGCCGCTTGCTCAAAACGTGTTTGAAGTGATTCAAAGCGCAGGCCCAGCAGGAGCCTCGAATCCTCAGGTCAGCGTTGCCACGGTCGGGTACGCCTTTCGTCGGTACATGGCAAGCCACTTGACCAAGGTCGCTGAAACGCAGCAACCATCGCACCTCAAGCATTTCCAAGTCGTAAGTAGACTGGAGCGGAAGGGAAAGACTTCTGCCTACATGTTTTCCGTGACAAACCCTGCTGCTCAAGATGATGCCAGGGACAGCCCAGCCGCTGCGACCGGTGCTAGTGCGTATGGCTTTGGTCAAGTACGAGCAAAATCGTTCCCCGAAACATCAGACCTATCCCTTACGGAAATCTGCCGGTTGGCCAAGAAGCCTCGCTCGATGGCAAAGCGAAAAGGCCGCCATCTGAGCAAACTTGAAGCCATGTCACAAACTGAGGCCGAGGCATCCAAAACTCCAGACGATGTTGTCATGTCGGGACAACCGAATTTTGAGCCTATCACGCCAATAGACCAGAGTGTCAATGGAGATGATGCCACCCACGAAGACCTCGCAAACCACACAAAGGCCGCGTCTCCTGAACTTGTGGAAGAGAGGCCACCGGGTGCCTATAGAGGTATCCCTGGGTCACTCAATCCAAATCCACATTTTATTGGACGACCCAGAAAGTCCATCGTCATGGTGTTCCGATCAGATAAGTTGAAGGACCCCAACTTCTTGGGTACTCCTCGGGTGTCCGATGCGGACCCATCACCCGCTTCATCAGTTTTGGGAGTTACCGACCATTCGAGCACCGTACTCAGTGCGAGGTATAATGGTATTGCCGGAACGTTAACAATTTCTGCTGCAAGTCGGGCGGTTACATTTGACAGGGACTCCAAAGAAGCTGGCAAAGAGCCTCTTGCTATCAAACTTGACGATATGCTGGATGATCCGGCTGTACGGGACGTCCCTGGGGCAGATGGCAAGAGTTTGGTTATTGTGACCAAGGAAAGTAGTGACGGCAATCCTTCCTGGACCTTCGTGTTCTTTTTGACGACACGGAGGAGAACAATCAAAAGGCCCTGGCAATCCAGAAAGAGATTGCAACACTCAAAACAGATCAAAGCACCAGCCAGTTCGTGGTTGCTGAACCATCAACCCCTCAGAGCATTGCAGATGATCTGGCCCCAACAAGAGGTGGGGCTGTTCGCGGTGGCCGCGGTGGCCGTGGTGGCCGTGGTCGCGGAGGAAGCACCCGGATCCGAGGAGGCCGTAGGGCGCAGATGCTTGCCAACGACCCAAAGCCTTACAAATGTGAAACTTGTGGTGGTGCTTGGAAGAACGACATTGGACTCAAGTATCATCAGACGAAGGCCCAAACGCCCTGCAATCCGAACTTCGACCCTTCTACTGTCGCAGAACGCGGAAGAAAGAGGCGAAAGCTTATGTCACCGGAGCCAGATGCTGCTTCTGTGGCTTCAGGTGCTGGAGATAACCAAAACGCACCAGTTGGTAATCAACCGGAGAAGGACGGGCGCAAAATGCGAAAATCATCAGCTCGCTCACGCGCCACTGTCAGAGCCGGTGTTAGAGCGATCCAAAATGCCGAAATGACTTTCCGTGGGTTGAATGCCAGCAATGTTGTCGAGAGCGTAGAAGATGCTGCTCAGTTATCAATTCATCAGCACCATCAAGCAGCCGGCGGGCCTCTGTCCTCTCATGTCACCCATGTTGCACCTAAGCCCAAATTTGGAGGAATCATCAGTAACTTCTCCAAGGAAGACGATACCCTTCCAACACCTAGCAACCCACACAGCCAACATGATCCGATGAAGATTCAGCATGTTATCGACCCACAACAAACACCCCAGCGTGTACAGCCATATAGTCCTCGAGATGGACACCACCTCAATGCCGGAGTTGATACTGATCTCGGATCTCCAGTTCAGCAAAGAAAACCGGCTCGCTCAGTCCATCCATCGGCTCGCTCAGTCCATCCATCGGCATACACTGAAATCCCGTACCAACAGAGTCGTCAAATTGGTACCGCCGGTTATGCCTCTGATATCGCTTCGCCTTTTCCTGGAATTCCTCAGAGCTCGCTGTATCCCGATCCTAGCAATATCCAACCCTCCTACGCAGCCCCGGGCCTACACTCTAACCGAAGTCATTTTGTGCAAAGCCACCAGGATGCTTATGTTGCTTTATATTCATCACCCCCACAACCCTCACCGTATTCACAAGAATACGGCCATGCACTGGATAGTCACACAGCTAGCGAGACATACCCGGAACCGTACCCCGCCAGCATTCAGCAGCATCAACAGCCTGCCAACCAAGTCCAGGCTCAAGTGGTGCCGTTTATTCCTTCAAAGACTACAATCGGTTTTCCACCGAGGCCAAGAAAAGGACCGCTCAGGCTCGTGACATCATTCTCTACCTTCTGGACAACAATTTTGGCGTTTTTCCTGGTGGCAAGTCATTATTCTATGCCCTGACCAAGGTGTATCTTCGGGCGTTCAGACACCAATCTCCCCCAACCTGGAAGAATCATCAGGCCGCGATCAAGGCGCTAGAAACTCGTCACCTAGCTGTTCTTCACACCCACATGCTGAGGACAGAGGCTGGCAGGTTCATCGAACTTTCCCTGATTTTGAAGACCGGAGTCAAGACCAACGATCCCATGCCAATGAAGGTGAAGAAAAGGATGAAGGAGAAGTATCCAAGCCTCTATATTCCCACAGCGTTTTCCCCGACACAGGAAGAATTAACCACTTTGGAGGAGTTGTATGAGAAACCTGCTGGTAATGGCAAGGAAGAGCGGAAGGTCAATGCAAATGGCCAAAAGTTTAGGAGCAGGAGAAAGATTGATGAAGTCGAAGTCTTCAACGCACCTTTTTACACCCAGCACAACGAAGAGAAAGTCCGCGACTCTACGGATCCTCTCTGGGTATTGGAATCCGAAAAGGTCAGCTCCTACAACAAGCGCCCAGCGATGGATGAGCTTCCGGATGGCCACCCAGAAAAGAGGGCAAGATTAGATGAGCAAGGTACACCCAGCAAACGTTTCGGCGCGCATCATGACGATTCAGATGGTTCCGTGTGGGAGCCGGATCACCCATCCCCCTACCATACAGGCCCCAGGAGGAGGGGACGCCCCGCGAAGCTTTTCGCACCAACGTACACGAAACATGTCACCGACCAGGACGAGAACATAGAACCACCTTCAGTCGCCGAGGCGATCAAGGCATACGGTCTATTACCGGCTAAGTACGGCAGTAAGAAGAAGGAAGCGGCGCTCAGAAAGTTGCACAAACTGCTTCCGCATGTTGGTAAGATGAGGAATCCAGGCTTAAGCAGCTTGCCGCCTTGGTTCTTTGACAGCCGCCAACGAACTATCGATAAACGCGTTGTTGAGGTCCAATTTTTGGAACCTAATCTCGACATCCACGGGCCCGGTGCTTCCACAGCACAAGAGCAGCCGAAGCAAGCCGAGAAGTCAATCTTATCAAAGGGCGAGGGCTCCACAGCTGGCGATGATACCACATCGAATAACGAAAAGGCCGAGGGAGCCCAGAAACCCGTGGTCTTTCAGTTCGCGCCTTGTACTACGATTCAAGACGAATCACGGGGTTCTTGGGCTTCAAAGGGGTGGCAATTCTTCGAGAACCACAATGGCAGTTTTGCTGTCAAGGGTTGGATGCCAGATCTCGACTCTCTTACTGAGGAGAACCTTCCTCGCAGTGCTGAAGCGATGGCCAAGGGCCCAGGAATCACATTCAACCCCGATAGTTGGAAGGATCCAGAATACGGGAGAGTCACCACCCTTATCGACAAGTGCGCGGCGTGGGAGCGCTCTTCACCCGGTACCGCCTTGCTCACAGCCAACATCGTGTCGTCGAAGCCCATTTTAATCAACGTCTCTTCATCGACGACCAAGGCTAGTATGAAGAACTTGACGCTCAAATGGTCAGAGGATCGACAGTTCGACTTGGATACCTTGCCGTATGATGACGTTGTTCAGGTAGCAGACGATGAGTCGCTACCGTATGACGGTGGTAGCCCCGACAGAGTCTTCATACGGCCTGTTCGGGCCACTCGCACGATCCGCAAAACTGAACCGAACAAACCTGGACGAAAAGGCGCAGGAGGCCGGCCTCCCAAGATCAAGCTTCCTGCCATCAAGACGGAGCGTGAGCACACAGCTTATCCAACCACAGACAATGACTTCTTGCGGGTTTCCGGTGACCGGACGCAGGAGCTGGATTGGAGCAGTGACAACGTCAAGGTTACCGCGTTTGTTGTCGTCACTACATTGCTGGGTGGTGTTGACAGGGTGGTTGATTGGGGTCTGATGATGAGACTCTTTCCCGATATGACGCTTAGCCAGCTCAGGCATACTTGGGGTTCTTTGAAGAAGGACCGTATGTCAAGCATTGTAAACCTGACTGATAAGTTCAGACGTGCTTTCCTCAAAGCCTATGGAGTAGGCGTACCGAAGATCAACTTCGACAATATCCTCGAATACGACTGGAAGTGGCTCATCAAGTGGGCTTCTAACCTTGACGAGTTCCGTCATGCCGACATACCGGGATCCAGGAATGCTCTCAAGAGAGACTACAACGTGACCGGAATAGGAATTGAGGACCGTGAGTGGCGGGAGACATACAATCATCCGCAGCGCTCGGTCTTTAACAAGTTCCAAGACGCAACTTCGGAAGCAATGGCACTGTCAATCGACGAAGACGATATCAAAGAACAAAACAACGTCAGAAGAAGAGAGCTGGCACTTGCCATGGCATTTATGCGCTCACTATGCGTGACGCCAGTCGAGACTTACTCAAAGGAGCACATCAGCAAGCAACGCAACAGCTTATTCCCCACCCTCTCTAGGGCAGAGGTTGAGGGTCTTATGGTGAAGGGCGTTGATCAGCTCCAACGTGAGGGCATCATCTCCAAATCTAACTCCCGGTTCCAGAATGGCTGGCGTTGGCGCATTGCCAACCGCATCACCGACCTGCTTGACAAGGTCTCACACGAGGAAAGACTCGCTCAAGCCCTCGCCTACAAGCGGGAACTCGACAAAGCCTTCCGGGCTGGTGAGAAGAAGCGTGTCACATACGTCACTAACGACGGAATGATTATGGCTCTGCTCAACATGCAAGCCCACCAGCGCGTCCGCATTGAGACCACCGGCCAGCCATATGTGTCTATGGGTTTCGAGCCTGGCAACTACGAGACAAGAAAGTACACCAAGAAATACCTTCACTTCCGCATCGATGTCATCCCTACTGATACCTACCGCTACGACGATGATCAGGAGCTGGAAGATTTCCGCAAGCGAGTCATGTCAGCACCGCCTCCTAATATGGGGCCGGATGGCGCAACGCCTATTTGGTGCGATGTGTTTGGCCGGATTGACGCAACTCGCTGGCTTCGCTATTTGTGTGTCGTACTTGTCACAATCGCTTCCAAGGGCGCCATGGGTCCCGAGGAATTGTGCAAGACGCTCAAGCCCGCGATCATGCCGTTCGAGGCTGAGTTGATCATCAACTGGGCCGAGCAGTTGGGCATCCTCGGACAGCAGTATGAGGGCACAGCGCTAACGGTGATGGAGTGGTGGTGGATGGCCTTGGATGCACAGAAGCAGGGTCTGGAGGCTGGTCTTGCTGGTGCTGATGTAGCAGAGGGAATGAGGACTAGGAGAATGTTCCCCGGTATGAAGACATTCTAGGTTGATCCTCTGGATATCCAGAGACGAAAATTGCGATGAGGATGCAAATCTACAAGGAGCTGAAAGGGATATACAGCATGTGGAGAAATATTATGGCTTCTAGTTATTATTCAGAAAACATGTGCCTTAGATTTTGTAGCCGAAGGAACAACTGTTGGAGTAGAGATGAACATTGAGAGAAAGGGAAAAGGAGAATACAGATCATGAGCGCATTTCAGGTCTATCAGTACCATTGAATGATACCCAGCATACTTCAGTATAGCAGTCCCATCACAAATTGTTTGACAAAGACCATTACGCACATAATGTCGTCAGTGTGGTTTAGGTTTTTTTGTTTTTTTTGTGCTTCACAGTTCTTTGTACTTGTAATTCAGTCTGCAATGACCGGCAAATCCCAAGTGTTGTATGCCACTTTCCCCCATTATATCAAAGCGTCTGCTTTTGCCATGAAACCTGAGTCCGTTCAAACCTTGTTGTTGATGAATATGTATAGCAAGCATCACGTTGAGTGGAACATCACTGGCGTTCGACGCAATGATATATGCCCGATGTCTGTATCACCACTTTACAATAACGGAGCTGACCACTATCATCAGATGTTTTACGGTTTAAACTGCAATGCCAATGCCGAATCGGCTCCGAGCGTCTTACAAAGTATGTCGTGCTTCGACAAGTACAATTGGCAGATGTGACCGCTTTGCCATCCATCTGTTCACCCCATTCTTCAGTCGATTGAGAGCTACTGTAACTCATGACGCACTTCAACTTTGTCACTAGGACACTGACTGTTCTCATACCTACTTTTGGTTCACTGATCTATCTCCCTCTTTACAGATATATAGGAGCACGGAGATGAAAATATCGGACAAATTGAAGGGTTGGTTGCTCGGCCCCGATGATCGCGGGCCAGGAGGGTCATCGGAGTAGGGAGAAGTGCCACATGGCAACCCCCAAAGATGAGGAGGGGCACACAGGTCCTTCCCAGACAGACAACCCGCTCCTTGTAATTTTGACCCAAGCAGGTGGTGGAAAACAGAGAAACGAAGCAAAGAAGGAACGAAACGATGAAGGGAGAGGATCGAGGTTCCACTCGGTTGCCTGACCCGGATAGAAGAAAAGGGGAAACCACCCGAGCAGATGCACGACTGGAAGTTGCAGCAGAGCGTGGCCCGAGCCAATGGTAACTTCCCATCACTTCGGATACACTCCTTGACAATTGGCCGTTTGCTTGAACTGTTGTCGTAGCACAGTTTGAGAAGAAGTGGTGGAAAGGGAAGAACGAACACGGGAACTGAAGAGACCATCTGCCTGCATCTCTCCGATACCGCTCTGCAATAAACTGAACCTTCCATCAAAAGAGGCCTTCCGAAACTATTTATCCAGTTGATAGAGGCTTCCAGAGTTCAGGCAAGAGTCACGATAACTTCATTACCGTGACTGCCTGCTGCCTGTTTCATAGGTAATCATCTCTCATGCAGTACCGACGCGAGGAAGGAAGGCCCAAGACGGTATACCAAGCATATAAGATGACTGATATCAAATACGTGCCTGTCTCGCAGGGTAGAGGTACATGAAGGCTCAGAGAGACTTGATCCTGCCGAAGACTTGCTTGTTCCTGCCAGCTAGTGGACAACGCCTTCCTCATTAGCTCTTCTGGGGCAACACCGCATAAGGTACGCAAGTGCTGGCAGAGCAGACTGGAGGGGGGCGACGACGGGAGGTGGTGATTGAGGACTCCGGCTGGCCAGCTGAAGGGCTCCTTGTTGGACGACCTTCTCACAGTGTCCAATCCGAACCTGGTAACAAGATTACTAGAAAGATGCATTACAATCGGCGTGTCCGGACCAGCACTGTCTGGTCTGCCTGTCCCGCCGTCATGCGTTTACGGACCGCGTCGAGTTCTGACACCGATATAGGTACTCGGACCTGTACTCGTCGACGGAGACGGAGACACCAAGATGATGTACTCAACCGTGTTGTGTACACGGTATTCAGGTACGTAATAGCGTGTCAGAAGTATGCCTGACACTTATCTGCAAAGTTATCTAGGATGCCCCTTGTTGGGACATTGATTGATCTTGAAGGAAGGATCATGATGATTGCTGTCGTGGTCAGAAAAAGGGGCGTCTGTCATGTAGATGAAAAGGAGTCAAAGAGGCGTCAAGTCGCGCAAAGGCGACCAGTCCCCAAGCGCTATCAACGCTGTCAAAGCTATCGATAGGCTTTTTGTGCGACATGAACTGGCCAACCCCGGGGCAAACGCCGTGCACATCAAATGCCAAACCGCTGCATGTCGCAATTTCTTTCCCAACCTCCAACCAGTCAACAACCACTGGGGGAACAACCACCAAGCACGTCCAACGAGAAGTCCACGATACACCCGACGCACCTCGCTCAGACCTTGCCCAGGCCATGTCCGCGGAGACCTTCTTATCTTGCTCTCACCGAGATGGCCCAGCGCGTTGCGGCCGTGAATGAGCTGCATCATGTCAGCTACCTCTCAATGCAGCCAAAGGAGGACAGGCCAAGTTGACCCGACTTCAAGCATGCCCACCCCGTCAGGCTCTCAAGGGGTAAGTCTTCTCCCAACCACACATATTCTACCATGATTGCCTTGCCCATATCTCCTGCATGTTTGCGCTGCCTGTCTCTTTTGTTCCTCTGTCGCTTTCAACATGACAGCCTCAATCCTAGGCGAAACGCTTCGGCATTGTCTATTTCCGGTCCTCTATCAGCCACCCTCTTCTGAGATCTTGCAGGCCATCCAGCTTCTCCGCGGTTCTTCTCACCCCAGACTATCTCGCGCTACACGAACCCTCAAGCCACAGGGGAAAGGGAAAGGGGGGAAGAGGAGCAGAGAACTGCCACAGTGGTTTAGATGGAAGGTGGCTGAGTCAGAGCCCCAACTCATCCAAGGCCAAGACTCCTCCAGGAGGGCAAACAAAATCAACATGAGACAGCGACCCCTTCGCGAACGAATACGCATCACCGGCGTGCAATAGTTGCGTGGGTCTTGGCAGAAGTCATTGTCATCAAAGGTTGACAGATGGATCACCGCGTACTTCCATCCTCGCTTTCCAGCATGGGAACTGTCTCGTTCAGTTCGTCCCATGGAAACTTCAGAGATTCCAACACTCACACACATGGTATGCACCTTGTCGGCATGAGAGAAGGCTGCTTATTCCATGTCTCTCCTTATCCCTAGTCCAGCTGAAGAGGCCGGAGGCGAAGCGGCCTGACGATGCGAGAGCCATGCAGACATCCGAATATCTACCCAGCCAGTACGTTGGCATACTGAGCCTCACAAGACAAGGCAACCTCTATAACACAGCTATTTGCACCTGCATCTCCTTTAACACTTGTTTTGGCCAAGGCTGGCTTCATTTTGCCTTGCATTATCACTCCCGCCGACTTTACCTGTCTCACCTCCCACTCGGTCAGCCAGTGTTCAGGGGGCAGAGACGTGAGGACACCAAGGAGCGTTGGGGACAAGGAGATGCGTCGGAGAGTAAGACTTTCTATCAAGGTATGGATGAAGACATGAAAGCCCCAGAGTGTGAGGAGACATCACGCGGCCTCTGGACCCTGTTGACGGTCGCCGCCTGTGCTACGCCCAGTGCACTCCCCATACGGACAATGACAGGAGGGACTGTTTTTGGACAATAAATCTGTGAATGCATGGTGCTGACTTTAAAAATACAGTATCATACAGAGCTAGACACTCTGTCACCTACGGGAATTTCTGTACTGTCGCTGTTACTCGTCACCCAGTGCACAAGATTCAAATTGCGGGGCCTTCGTCTTACCGTCACTCGGTTCATAACTCTCTATGCCGGAGGCTTCCCAATCCTGAGCCACTGAGGTTCGTTCATGGCATGAATACTCTGTTTTCTATACAGAAATAACGTCGAGAATCACAGACTACCCTATTCTATGTTTGCGGCAGACATGTGAGCGACCTGCAACCCATCACAGAGAGCCATATCATCCAAATGATGGAGTTGGGCATGAGGGATCCTCTGGGCGGTATATCGGTCTGAAAACAAACGCGAGAAGACAAGAACGCATGACCGGCTTCAATCAAGCCGGTGAGAAGCACAACTGCATTCTCACGATGTTACGATATTCTCGATGATGTACATCGAAGAGGGTGACTCGAGTATGGGGAAGTACCTTTTACGAGACGGTACTCAGGCTCTTGCTCCCTGGCAAGATCAAACGGTCGTCCATGGACAGCTCACCGTTTTTGCTCCTCGGCAGGGTTAGTCCCGTCCTGGGTCTTACTTAATTATCCCCGCCTGAAAATGGATCGAGAGCACGCCATTTCTCTGTTAACCACCATGAACAAGGCCACGCATGTCTGCCTACGCATGCGAGTGTTTGTGCTAGTATTGATGCCGGTGACTTTATGTCAGACAGTCAGGTGTGTATGGCTCTATGTAGGTATCCGAGTACACTGACCAGTCTGTTATGCCCGGTTTCAATTTTCCCCAGACTGTAGCCGGAGCATCCTTCTCGCTGCCTCATTTACCATTATACTTAACCCTTGTGTGCCATCTATCTCTCAACCTGGCAGCGGCTAAGATTAGAAGACGATGTTAGGATGGTGTGCCGACCATATATGAAGCAAACGAGATCATGGTTGGTGTCACGAGCCTCATCATGCTCCATGCAACCCTTCCTTCACTACAACCTATCTGACGGGTCCTCACACAACCCGATTGATGGAGATTGGCGATTGCCCCAACAGTCTACAATGGGAAAGCAAGCATGGATATTATGACAGCGACTCATTACTGACAGGCTCGGCTTTTGGAAGAGGGCGCCTTCAGCAATAACCGAGCCTGTCATGTTCTTTTCGCAGGGCACGTATGCACCCATCCTTCCACCCAGACTGGCACTATTGATCCATGTCTCTCGCGGATAATGGCATCTAGGTCTTAAGGCAACCTGACACCCACAGAGCGGTCAGTCGTCAGGCACACACACAACGGATAGCT